AATATTTCAACACACTTTACTCAAGCTAACATTTTATATACAAATTGAAAAGTTTTTATGTTTACTATGTTGTTTTGAACAAATATTGATAATTTAATCAACCTATTTCAATTGATTAAAAAATAATTATTTTTGATAAGTTCAAAAATTTGCGGACAAAGCATTTATATTTTAAAAGTAGGAATTTTCTAACAATATTTGATCAAAGTTTATTAGAAATGCAACAGCTTTGCATATGCAAGGCATAAAGTCAACTAAATTAATGCAAACATCAATGGAAATAAAGTGCATAGTTTCTTAGATTTTTCTGAAAAACATGTTTTGTAGTATGATAATTTGTAGTATGATTTGTAGAATGATATTTGACAGTGAACATTTTCTCATAAATATATTCCCATAAATGATCAATGGCAATCTCATCTCAAACAACTCAGCTGATTGAAAATCAACTTTAAAATACGATTTTAATTTACTCTTTTTGAAGAGTTTTTGAACCAATTTACTTGTTTGGGATTATTATACTTATGGTATATCCATGCTCTAGCCATTTTATCCTTGCATGAGATAAAACATATGTCTTTGTATATTTCTTGATCAATAGTTCTAGTATATTTACGGAGGGGATCAACACCGCCTTGACTTAAACATGTAACTATTACCTCCTCTAAACCTCCTCTATGTTTTCAGTAAAGAGATGAGATTTAGGATTGTATTTTGTACTTAGGTATTAACAAACTTTTTCCATCTGATCAGAACTGTATAAACTTGTTTTTATCACTAAAAAGAATCTTAGGTTAATATTGACTACTTCACTTCTTGGGCGTTTCAGTTTTTCAAGGAAAACAAGCTTTTAAGATGGATATCTTTCAAACACATCTGCATGAAATAAATAACATTTCTAAAATATAATTTATTCCATAAAAACAATTCATTTGTTAGTTAAAATTATTAGCTGTCAAATAAGGTTTTTCTGTTGCTTAATAACTCGTGAGCTTTTTATTCTGACTGTATGTTGTTCTGCATGGTCTTCCTGGTTTCGAATCTTTGTAAATCCAGAAATTCATATCTATTCATAAGCAGACTTGCCGGCTCTATAAAAACTGACAGCAGACTTGCTGGCTTCATAAAAATGTGCTGTCTTATGAAACAAATTTCCATTTTAACTGATCTTGCTCAAGTTTTTAACTTTTAACTGATCTTGCTCAACTTTTTATCTGGAGATATTATACATTTCTTATACCTTATGACCCCAATCACTTATAAATGAACCTTTTTAATTATTTTTACAGAGTATTTGTTTACATTATCAATAAACTAGAAATTTTTTGGAAAAAATGTCGAAAGCTTCAGTATGTCTGAAAATTTTTGAGCTTTTAAAAACCATTATTCAGTGAACCAATCAAAGTACATAAATTATTTAATCAACATTTGCACAATACATAAGAGTAAACATGAAAACTATTTAATTGTTATTTAATGTTGGATTTAGTGAAGTTAGTGCTGAATTATTAGTAGAATTCAATATTTTTATTTTAAATTATTTAGGTTGTATATATTTATTTTAATTTAATTATCTAAATTTATATTAATTTAATTAAATAATCATCATTTATATAATTGGCCTGCCCACTAGTGTGTGTGTGTATATATATATATATATATATATATATATATATATATATATATATATATATATATATATATATATATATATATATATATATATATATATATATATATATATATATATATATATATATATATGTATGTATATATATATATATATATATATATATATATATATATATACATATATATATATATATATATACATACACACACACATCCCAAATAAATTTAGCAAAAGATAGAATAATATAAGTAGAAAATATTAATTTTAAATCATATACTACCTTTATTCCTAATTTTTCAGCCCAAGCTGCAAATTTAGCCAGGCCTTTATTTATTTCACAAGCTGCAATGCATATAAGATTAGGAGCAGTCCACTTACAATAATCCCATGTCACACAACCAACTGGACGACCCCATATAGTAGTACAATGTGATTTCCATCCAAAGAATGGAATACATACTAAAGCAATTATTATATAATACTTTAAGAATTTAAAACATTTTCTGTAATAAAATATTATTATAACCCTAATGCTTTTATTATATCTTTATATTTTAAAATACTAAAAAAAAATAAAGTATTGGTACCCCTCAGTATCCCTTAACTTGTTAGAGTAATGATATTTTTTATTTAAAAAAAAACTCAGCATTTTTTTGTTAATTCATACAAAACAATTAGAAATAAGAATTTGTATTTTTACAGTTGACAAATATTATTAGGACTTTTAGATCCTTGTATCACTTTAGGGAATGTCAAGTCACAAAATAGACTATAAATTTAAAAGTTACAAAATAACTTTTTATGTTTGGTCTTTAGTTTCCAGTACCAGCAAAAATATTGAAACACTTATGAAAAATGTGTGCTTATACCAAAGCATGCAAAAGTTTGGAACATCTGATTTTTTCAGTTATTAACAAATAACACTTTATAAACTTTCTCAAATAAGCCTAATGTTTTTTACTCTATTATGTTTTACTAAATTATGTTTTATAATCTTTCAATTCAAAAAACTAATCACAAAAATTATAAAATTGTTTAATGGTTAAATAAAGTTTGAATTTTATTTTTGAAAAGGCTTCTGTGCAAAAGATACCATTGAATTTTGATTAATATTGATTTAAAAAAAATTTAACTAAAACTTAAAAAAAAAATTTTTCTTAAAATGTTTTGATAAAATAATTTCAATAAGATAGTTTGTATTTGGTATAATACTTATTTGCCTATAAAACAGCATCGCAGTAATGAGGTATCAAATTAATGAGAACATCCTGAGAACTTTTTTTCTTTCTCGTTTTGCATTTTTTAATAATGCATAAAATAAATATTTTGGCCTGAGCTTTAAAATAGAACTAGTGATCGACTGAATATCAGTTCCAGTTTCTACCAAAATTTCAATTTAAACACTTTGGTTTCAGTAATAGTATTGAAACCAAAGTTTTGTTTAAATATTAGTTCTGTAAGAAATAAAATTTGTTGAGAAACATACTGATAACTGAAATTTCAATTGAACGACTTTAAATTTTAATTATAATTTTATTCGGGCAAATTTTAACAAATAATTTTACCATTTCTAAATAAAATTCAAGTTCAGCATTCCCTAATTAATCAATTTTATAGTAAGCAAATAGCGCATATAAATGCTTCTATAAAGTATTAAAGCTGCAAATAATCAAGTCATGGTTTAACTACTTGCACACTTCACATAATATACTTGTTTTTGAATAATATAAACCTTTCTGTTAGTCATTTTTCATCCCACAGCTTTTATAATTAATTTCATTATTTTATTTAAAACTTCCTTAGCCTTTCCCATGCTTTTAAAATATCACTAAGTGATTAAATCTAAAAAGTTAATATATTTTATAAGTATTTTGCCAAATAGTTAAACTTCACTGCTTTTGAAAGGGAATTATTAAATTTCATAAACATTTTGGCTTTTTTTTCAAATATTTTTGCTTTTGCTTACAAAAACTTGATTTAATTGTGGAGACAATATTGTTTCTAAACTTCTGCATGGATATCAAGTCAATAATTAAAAGTTTCAGCTTATTTGAGAATGCTTATGAAAAGATATGTATTAAAAACTGAAAAAAAGTTGGTTTTTCAAAACTTTTGTTATATACATTATTGTCATTATTACATTATATATATATATATATATATATATATATATATATATATATATATATATATATATATATATATATATATATATATATATATATATATATATATATATATATATATATATATATATATTATTAAAAGAAATCATTTTTAGAATTGTTTATGACATAATGAAGCACTATTTTACAGTTTTAGAGCCCTCCACAAATGCTGCATTAAATTACCCCATACTTGCTAATAAAAAACAATTGCTTTGTTTTTAGTACCAATTTGCTTTTTTCAATGATTTTGTTTAGAGAAGTAAAGAGCCTATGGATTGTATTTTACAAAAGAATGTTTCCATAGACACATTGACTGAGATACTTTAAAACTAATTACTGTTTCAACATCTGAAATCTCAATCACTTTTAATTGAAGCTTTTTAATCATTTTTACAAAGTATTTGTTTACAATAAACTAGCAACTTTTGGGAAAAAAATGTAATTGTCCGCATTTTTTGAGCTTAATAAAATCACTAATTTTTAAATTAATTAAAGTACGCTAATTAAATAATCAATATTCATTCAAAACATAACAGTTAACATGAAAGCTTTTTAATTGGTATATAATATGTTGGATTTAGTGAAGTAAGTGCTGATGTATTAGTAAAATTCAATTTTATTTAGTCTTTTATGTAATACACACACAATTGTATATAAAATTAAGTTAAATAGTGTAATTTCAAAGCCATTACACTTCTATTTCACCTGTCCCACATTTAGGAGCACAGTCTGCTTTCAGTTTTTCCATGTCTGCTTCAATTTGTTTTTTTCTGTTTTCTAATCGCTGCTTATAATTTTTAATTCCTAAAATTGAAAAAATTATAAATAAAAAATAAGCAAACAAATGAACAAAAAACAAACTAATTAGTAATAAATAAATTTTCTAGTATTAATTTGAATTAATATTAAGTATTAATTTGATAGTAAGTTAATTAATAGTAAGTATTAATTAATAGTAAGTTTTAATTAATAGTAAGTATTAATTTGAATTAAATTAAAACTTTAATTATTATATAAGATTTTTCTCTATCAAGCATTGGTGACATAGGAATTGTGTCACATGTCACAAATGCTAAGATCTTAAAACATTTTCATAATGACAATTTTCATAATGGTTGCAATCTACAGCTTGCAGAGTGTGCTAGATTGGTTCAAATTCAAAATTTTCAAAATTAATATTGTTAAAACATTTCTAAAAAAGATCTAGAGCAGTTTTTGACTATTATTTTAGTGAGAGATAGTCTAGCGGCATTATGCATATCACCACTTATTATCAAACTCAATTCTTTATAAGGTAAAGTCTGTCTGCAATCTATTTACATTCTTAAATCAGTAATGCTTGGAAAAAATTTGCACTGTTAGGCAGTACATCATCACCAACATTAAATTACATTTTACTGAATACATAATTATTAAAAGATTAATAAAAGCAAAAGTATGTTAAAAAAAATTCTTCAGTATTTTTTATCAGCCTTTAACGTCAATACTTCAAAAAATTTATTGTTTTGAAGTATTGCAGTTTCATGTATGTATGTACATAAACATATACTAAATTTTGTATGTACATAAAAATTACTAAGTTATATTCTTAGTGTTTAGGGGTGCCAAAAATTGTGGAAAGATCTACCCAGGTATTCTTTGATAAAATAGGCAAGTACTTAGGCTCACCAAGTTAATAATGTTAAACTGTTATATCATAATTAATGACTTAAAACTTAAAAAATAAACACAAATTTTAAATTTAACAAATGTTATCCACTGTTAACATAAACCCAAATGTTATGCGTCATTTGATAATGCTGTCCAGACATTAACAAATGAGCAAAGACCCAGGTGCTTGGGTACCTGTCAACAACCTTAGTCTTACCAGTAGCTGCTATATATTTAATGAGTTACCATTATATGATTTATTCTATAAATTTAGTTATTTAAACAATTCAAATTCTACTTTTAAATTTTAAAACTTTAATTAAAATGGAAAAGAAATTACAAATATAAAATTAAAAAAACTGACCCATTTCCCAAGCTTCAATTTTTTTTTGTACTTCTTTAACATCATTTTCTGCTTTTTCTAAAGTTTTTTTTGCTTGCTCAAAAACAGCATTTGCCTTTTTCTGTGCAGCTTCGATAGATTCTTTAGCAGACTCTGACACAATTTTTATTATGTCCAAACCAACACACCCTTCAAACTAAAACATTTCATATACTTATTTAGACTAAAAATATTTAAATGTATATCATATATATGTAGTAAAGATGTGTAATCAAAAAGTTTATTTTTTTCAGTTTGAAGCTGTTACATTGTTGCAGAAAATTGTTTCTATATGTGCTGATTCAAATAAGTAAACTTTTATGGATTAAACAATGTACTCCAGCCCAACTTTCATTTGAAAAATTACAGAAGCCCCAATGTTACCACCAAAAAGGTTTTTTAAAGTATGATATTAAAGAAAAGATAAATATTTTTATATTCACTAAAAAAAACAACTTTTGTACAACATAATCTAAAATCTGAATTTTTTCCAAAAATGAATTTTTTTGTAATATAGAATTCATTTTCCATATATATATAAATATATATATATATATATTATATATATATATATATATATATATATATATATATATATATATATATATATATATATATATATATATATATATATATATATATATATATATATATATATAAAATTAAAATATATTAGACATTCAACTTTAAACTTACGCCAAAGGATTGTAATTTTGAATTGCTGTATGAAGCACTCACTGCTATTGACATATTCAAAACACCCCAAAGGTTACCTGTTACTGAGAATGAAAATGATTGGTCAGTGATTTTTATATTAATGCCAGCAGCTATTCCCAATATGTTTATATACCCTTTTATACAGACGTCAAGGTCAAAAGGATCTAAAACCAATTTTAGATAAAAAACTGGTCCATTTGTATGATCTTCAGCTGATCGATAAAGTTTAATCAAACCTGCACAAATTAAAAATTCAATTAAACAAAATGTCTTTCAACACAAAATTACACTTTTCTCAAAATAAAAAAAAAGTTAACTGTGGTTTTACTCATGTGGTTGTCATATATATACATACAGTCAAAGCATGCTAGTGTTGACTACTTTTAAATAATTTAATACGTCATCAATACAACACAATAATTAACAATACAACACAAGAATCAACAGTACAACACAAGAATCAAACATATATATATATATATATATATATATATATATATATATATATATATATATATATATAAATATTACTAAATTATTATTGCTCTGTTCTTTAAGAACATTGAGAACTCTATTTGTAGCATCATAATTTATATATATATATATATATATATATATATATATATATATATATATATATATATATATATATATATATATATAAAATACATATTGTTATAAGATTTTGTTGCAAAACAGAAAAGGGTAACACAAGTAAACGTAACTTTAATGTAATTTATGTAAAGGATATTTACATTGTAATTATATATATTACTTACTTTAATTAATTACACTTATTATTTTTTATGTTTATTAGGTTAATTATGAATATTAATTGCGTTAATTAATTAATTAATTACATTATGTAAAACATATTAAAATATACCTAATTAGTATTGGAACAAAGTTTGGTCGCAGAATTAAAAAAAAAAAAAGCTTTTTGTAAATGTGGAATTTGGAAATAATATGGAAATGCGCATTGAGTGAAGTTGTAGAATTACAAAAGAAATTTTATAACACAAAAAATAAAAAGATCTAAGAATAAAGAATATTCTTGTATTGATAAGCACAAAAACAAGCAAAAACAATACAAAGCAACAAAAACAGAAGTTTCAAGAGAAATAATAAGGCTGATTAAATGAAGTAGAGTAAACAGTGTTAAAAAAAAGTATATCAAATTAGTATTTTTAAAGAAGTGGTAAAAACAAGGTGGAAAGTTCATTTAAAAAATTGCTAAATTAAGAATTGGAATGGAATAAATAAGGTTTCTCTGCATTGAATATTGTTAGTGGACTAGAAGAGCTGACAAACAGCTGTTAAGTGAATATGTTAAGCTCTGTTAGAGGAGCCTGTTGATTCTTTTGGGAATGATTGTTATAGAGGCCTGTTGATGCATTGGTTGATGTGTTGAAGATATTCAAAGATGTTAGTGTTCAGTGGGTGTCAAATCTTTATAATGGTATTTTTCATGAATATAAATCAAAAATGATTTGAAAAAAGGAAAGGTAAAAAGCTATAAAAGGAGACCTCATAAAAAACATTTTAAAAAAAAAAAGTTAAAAAAAATAAAAAAAGATCTGCAAATGCAGTTTGTAGACCTTACAAAAATATTAAATAGATACCAAGAGAGACTTGGTATCTATTTAATATTTTTAATATTGAAAAATGGCTGGCAACAGTTATTATGGCTATGTATGAAAATGTTACAATATATATATATATATATATATATATATATATATATATATATATATATATATATATATATATATATATATATATATATATATATATATATATATATATATATATATATATATATATGTATATATATATATATATATATATATATATATATATATATATATATAGAAGCAATATATTTGCTTTTATATATATATATATATATATATATATATATATATATATATATATATATATATATATAGAAGCAAATTTAATCAGGATTTTCTATAATAAAAAATTAATCAACAGTATTTAACCTGTGTTGCTAAAATTTAACGATTCTCAAAGGATTGTTAAAACTTCAACAAATGTTGTTTTGTAAACAATGTTTTTAAATTATTAAAAAATGTTTTTGAATCAATAGTTTTAGAAATATTGTTGTTTTACAACGAGTAATTTTTAATAATTGACTGATATTCTTTTAAATTCATTTGATTTACCATTGATATCATCAAGTATGGGAGTTAAAATCAAGGAATGGTTCCAGGCTCAGCGCAATTTGGTTGTGGACTTGTTCAAGCAAGGTAAAACATTTAGGTAGATAAATAAAGCAACTGGAATGGCATTAGGAACCATCAGCAATCTAATAAAAAAGTATAATATGCTGGGACATGTGCAAAATCAGCCAAGATCCAGAGGTAAGTGTAAAATAACATCAAGAATAGATCCACAAATTATCAAGATAATAAAGTGCAAAATAACCACTTTTTATCAGTACCAAAAGTGTTAAGCCTCCTTCAGAATGATTTTGGGTTACAAGTGAGCTCATGTACTATTCGAAATTGATTGAAAGAAAGTGGATTCAAAACAAGAGTTCCACACAAGAAATCATTCCTTTCAAAAATCCATGGAAAACGAAGACTTGCATTTGCTAAAAAATATGTAAGTATGCCGGTATCATTCTGGAGGGTAGTTTTGTGAACTGACAAGTCAAAATTTAATCTTGTGAAGTCCAATTGAGCTTCAAAAAGTATGAAGAAAAATTGAAAAATTGAAGAGCAATTGAACTTCAAAAAGTATGAAGAAAAAAAGGTGAAGTATTTACACTCAATTGTATTCGAGGCACAGTAAAATTTAGTGGGGGCAATGTTATGGTATAGGGATCGATGGCTTAGAGCAGTACAGAAACACTTGAGTTTATTGATGGAATTACGGACTCTGAGGTTTATGTCAACATTCTCAAAAAAAATCTTCTGGCTTCAACTAAAAAACTGCGATTAAAAAAACATTTTATCTTCCAATAAGACAATGACCCTAAACATATGTCAAAGAAAGCAAATGAGTTTTTTATCCAAAAGCATTTTGAATTACTTGAATGGCTAGCACCAAGTTCAGATCTCAATCCAATTGAACATTTCTGGGCTATTCTGGATGAAAAATGTAGTACATGATGTCTAAAAAGAAAAAAAGAGCTAAAGATCATGCTCAAAGAAGTTTGGGCTAATATCAACTTAGATATGAAAAAATTAGTTGAATCGATGCCATGTCGACTTCCAAAAAGCATAAAAGCTAAAGGCGGTCCAACTTGATATTAAAAAGTCATAAAAATAATTGTCGAAGAAGCATTAATCTTTAAGCCTTTTTCTTTAAAATTTTGTTTGGATACTTATTTAATGCTAAAAAATTGCATAGTTTAAATGTATCTTAATTTTTTATCAAGTAAATATTATTAATAATATTTTTTTTTGCATTTTGAAATTGTAATTAAGTAATCTTTCAGAATAATCATTTTTTTAATTTTTATAAAGTTATTTTTTTTTTATATAACCTGACAAAGTTTAATTTCCCTAATAAAATGTTTTGTTCGGATACTTATTTCTCTAACTGTACAGTAGGCAAAACAATTGTCCGTACATTAATGAAAAATAAGGTTTTTTGAAAAAAGCTCTGAAACTTTAAATGATAGAAAAAAATAAATTAAACCAATAGATAGCGCACAAGAAAACAAATAAAAATGATACACCATCTTTAATTTTCTTCAACAATTTAAAATATAATTAACTTATTTAAAAGTTTTAAAAATTTTAAAACCAAAAAATTGTTTGTACATTTGATTTAAAAGAAAAAATTTTGTTTATAAATCATTTTTATATTAATATATTGTACTTTTAGGTTAAATTACACTATAATAAATAAAAATAAACCTTTTCCTAACTACATGGCTACGATGGAAGAAAAAAGGAAAGAATATAGTATTGACTTATGAGTAATTTATAATAGGAAAAATGGATTATCAATTAGAAAAGTAGCAGAAATGTTGAAAATTCCACCAAGTTCTATTCAATATATATGGGAAAAGTATTTACAAACAAAATCAGTGGCAAATAATGGTGTATGAGGCAGAAAAAGATCAACAACGTCAAGAGTTGACTAGTGCATAGTTGGGAAAATCGAGCAAAATCGAGCAAAATCGGGAAAAAATGCTGTAGAAGTATCAAAAGAGCTGGAAAATGAATTAAATATTAAATTTTTGCCACAAACAATTAGAGACTGCATGAAGAGACTGCATGAAGCCAATATTTATGCACGAACACCTAGGAGAAAACCATTCATCAGCATAGTGAACAAGAGAAAACAGTTGCAGTAGGCAAAGGAACATGTTCTGAAGGATGATACATTCTGGAATATGATTATTTGGTCAGACAAGAGTAAATTTAATTTATATGGAGCTGATGGTGGTGCAAAAGTTTATAGAAGAGTCGATGAAGAATATGATGTGAAGTGTTTAAGGCAATATTTAAACTTGATGGTTGAAATGTTATGGTTTGGGGCTGCATAAGTGTGTCAGGAGTTGGCAAAACTGAATTTATTGATGAAAAAATGGATTAACACTTATATAGATCCATATTAGAATGGAATTTGGTGGCTTCGGCAGGAAAATTAGGACTTGGAACGGAATTTCTATTTAAACATGACAACAATCCAAAGCACAAAGCTAGATCTGTAACCAGATATCTTACTGCAAATGACATTAAGGTGTTGGATTGGGTTGCACAATAGCCCACATTGAACCCTATAAAACATTTATGGTCGGTGGTGGAAAAAAGAATGAAAGATCGAGCTCCAAAGAACAAAAACGAGCTCAAAGAATTGATTTTAGATGTTTGTTCATCAATTAATCAAGAAATTATGTCTAAACTTGTCTTATCAATGAAAAATTGTTGTAGAGCAGTTATTGAAGCTGATGGTGGTCCAACAAGATATTAATTTAATTTAAACTAATTTTAATTTAAAAATTAACATAGTGTATGGACAATTTTTTTGTTTAAATTTTTAACTCTTTTCAAATAAACTTATATAACTTTTCATATATTAATATATTTTAAATAATACTTTATTATTATAATATTTCTTTAAAAACTCAAAATTACAGCTATCTAAATACTTTTAAATGTTGTTTTGATCAAATATAGAAACTTTTCATAAATGTACGGACAATTATTTTGCCAACTGCAAATATATATATATATATATATATATATATATACTATATATATATATATATATATATATATATATATATATATATATATATAAATATATATATATATATATATATATATATATATATATAATGCCTCTTTGAATAAAAAAATCTTATACAACAACAATAACCTTCATTTTGTTAAACATGCATGGTAATCTTGGTACTTCAAATAGTTTTTGCATCTTTTGATAACAATTAACCTATGACATTATATTATAGTAAATGCATAAATATATTAGATTGTTTCACATAATAATAACATGCCATTTGCACTCTACTTTTTGATTGTTACTTTTAAATGCATATGATAATAAACTCTTAGGTATCGAAAAAATGTATATAAATTTCTTACCTGATCCCCAATCATCTATGGGATCAAACTTAGCATCCAATAAAAATTCTCTTTTAATATGATCAAACCTTAAGTCACATTCAATAATATAACCCAATATTGATATTTTTCCTTTAAACATTACACCAGGTGATATAGAAAAGTCAAGCTCTTCTATTCGTTTCGCTATAACAAAAAAAAAAAAAAAAATACTTTCACAAAAAAAAATATTATTAAAAAAAAAACTTTTCTTTTTTGTAGTTAAAATTCAAAGATTTTTATTTTTATTTTGAATTAAAACAATAAACGTCTTTATAACAAGTTAAAAAAAATTCAAAACATTAAATGTTTTAACATCATTTTAAAATTTAAATAATATTAATATTGTTAAGTCATTATCAAAGTGTGGTAGTGAAAAGACTAAAGTTTAACCATTTAGTAGAAACCAGTATGAGTAAATTAAATTAAAACTATATCATATAAAATAGAGATGCACAAGGTATGAAGACTGCTGGGGCCTTATACAGTTGAGGCTATTCATTTTTTTTAAACATTGATTTATCAAAAAAAAAAAAAAAAAATTTAGAGGTCCAGGAGGAAAATAGAATTTTTTTTTGGGAGGCTCTTACCTTTTATATATATATATATTTTTTACTATTGCGTCTTAATTTTATATGTTTTTTTTTGTTTTTTATTCCGTTTTAGTTGATGCTAAAGTTTCTATTGATGCAAATTCTCAAAGAGAGGAGGTCAGAAAAGGTGTGCAACCACTTGCACACACTGCTACACATACCTAAAAAACTGTTATTTTTTAAAACCATTTAAAAAATAATATTGATAAATCTGCTTCCAGTAAAATGAAAAATACTTTGAGTAATTTGAAAAAATAACAACACTAGTTGATAAAAATACATTTAATAAATAAAAACTTTTAAAATTATTTCTTAGATAGCTTAGATAGTCATGATAAGAAATGCTATCTTAGATTGCATTTCTTATCATTTAATCAATATTATTTTTTAACCATTTAAAAAATAATATTGATAAATCTGCTTCCAGTAAAATGAAAAATACTTTGAGTAATTTGAAAAAATAACAACACTAGTTGATAAAAATACATTTAATAAATAAAAACTTTTAAAATCATTTCTTAGATAGCTTAGATAGTCATGATAAGAAATGCTATCTTAGATAGCATTTCTTATCATAGCTTAGAAAATGAAGTTTTTAAGATTTTAAATAACTAAAATTTTTAGTAATATTATAAACAAAAGAAAAAAACAATTCAATCCTTCTATTTTCACGGCATTTTTCAAGATAAAAGCAATTTAGCAGTAGCAATTATATGAACTTTATTATTTTTTAAAAAAAGCTCTTTAGAGCCATCATTTCTTAAGCTTTATAAAATTATTGATTATTTTAAAACACTCCATATATTATTATTATTTTTTTTTTACAATAAACATATTTTTTTTAAATAAAAAAAATGATCTTATTAAAGACCAACCAATACCTACCCCTATAACATTTTTATGTTACGTTACCTCTCAATTCATTTTCTCTATTTTATTCAAGAGATTGTATTGTAGACAATAAATCATTTTAACACCTAAAATGTTCAATTCAACTTTCTGCAACTAATCAGTAAGAATCTTTGCTTTTTGCAATGACTCTTTTAATAACATAAGCAAAATGATAAAGGTTTACAATCTTTTTAAGGTACAGCTTGATCATTTGTTTTTTTATTCAATTAATAAAGACAAAGTTATTTTAAAATACATTTAACAATAGGTTCCATACTTATCCTAAATGCATGATTTGATTCTGAACATGCTGACCATCTAGTTTTTGTGATCTGGAAGTTTCAATAAACTTTCAATGCACAAGTTTATATATTGAATAATAATAGATCAACACATTTTTTTTATCTAAAGCTTAAATTAGAGAAAATAAAAAGCGCTTTCTTTCTCTAAGTTTAATTCAAATTCTCTAAGCCTAACTTAAATTTTAGGTTGTGTTACGCTAGTGGATCGTTCTTGTACCTAATATAAACTATAACTATGGCAATCTATTTTTTGTTTATTTCTTATTAAACAGAGATAAATTATCATTTTTTTAGTAGTATTACTTATTAAAATGTACTAAGAAGACCTAATGATTACGTCATGCTGACTTCTCTACAAGTGTTGCTTATACAACCAGTATGTTTAATAAAATTTAAATGAAATGCAAATAATGATATATATTTTAAGAATTTAAAAAATTATATAGTAACACAATTCACAATAGACTGAATGATATCAATTCACAATAGACTGAATGATATCATAGTTTAATTTTTAGGATTGCTAAAAATTTCAATAAAACTTTTGGCAAAATAATGTATAATCTTAAAATAAAGTGTATACTCTTAAATCAAAGTGTATATTCTTAAAATAGATCTTCTAAAAATGTTTTTAAAAATTCTGAATTTTTTATAATTTTATTTGAAAATACGTAACTTATAAGCAAAAACACAGTTAATTTCCTCCTTCACTAAACTTCAAATTTTGAAATACAATGCTAACTTCTTTTGATTTCTTCTGTTAAGAAGTGCATAAAAAACATGCATAAAAATCCACAACCAAAAACATGTCATGCATGTTTTTGGTTACAATTTTATTTGTTATATATTTTTTGATTGCCAGTTTTATTTGTTTTTTATTTTATTTTATTTGCAAAACTCTGTTAAAACGAATTAGTTGTGGTTTTTTATCCTTTGAAAATTTACGTTAGGACAATATAAAAATATTTTTGCAACACAGAAACAATAAGTAAATATATCCTATTAGATATTTTAAAAATAAAATGTAATCAACAACTTTACCAATATACTGTTTAACCAACAAAACATTAAAAATCTGAGGGGGAGAGGGTGTTCACCCCCACACTGCTATACCGGTATCGCCCTGCAGATAACCTTGCAAAAATTAAAAAGTCTTTCAGCTGAACATAAACAACAGCATTAAAATCATTTATACAGCATGCAATAAGTATGTCTCTACTTCATGCTAGAAATCTCTACTTCATGCTAGAAAACCAAAAAAGATCACGATCTTAAAAACTTTTTAGTTCATCAAATGTTGTATTTCTTATACTGCATAATAATTTTTTTTTATTACGCAGTAAAAAATAATGCTAAAGCAAAAATTATAATATGAAACAAGTTATTCATTTTCTAAGTGCTGTAATTAAAAACCTTATTGTAAGTACTTTGTACTAAGTTAAATAAATATAGTAATTTTAACTAATTCCAAAATTTCTATTAATCAAACACATTGCTAACTAAAAAAAAAAATTGGAAGATGTTCCAACAAACTTTCTAAATGAAAATTTGTTAAAAGCTTATGTGTTGTGAAGTAGCTGTTATTGATAATTGATGTTATTGATATTGGGTATTATCCTCCTCCCCATCAAAAAAAAAATCTTAGTGAATGCTATTTTTTATTTTGATATTTTCTTAAAATGACTACCCACAAATGTTCAACTTTTATTGCAAATAATAAATCAACAGTTTTATTAAATATCTAATTGCTTAAACCAAATTATTTAACAAGTGTGACCACTGAACTTGATTGAAATGAAAATTAAACTTTGGCATAGCGAGAATAATCTTTTAGCCTGTTTTTTTAAGTAATTTTTTACATCAACTTTTGTAAAACTTTTAATATACAATAGAACATTAAAAACTTGAGTAAAGAAAATTAAAACAATAAAGCAATTATAGTCTCTTGCAAAAGTTTAGAATCAGTTTAGTATTTTTTAGATAAACCCAAAATTTATTGAAAATGACATACACAAAGTAAGATTTAATTTACGCTAAAACACACACATGTGTATGTGTATAACATACATGTGTATGTATATAGCATACATGTGTATGTATATAACATACATGTGTATGTATATAACATACATGTGTATGTATATAACATACATGTGTATGTATATAACATAAATTGAATTTTAGCTTCGTGTATGTCATTTGTGTATGTCATTTTCAAAAAACTATAGATTTACATAAAAAATACTTAACTGATTTTAAACTTTTACAAGAGACTGTATATATGTTATTATAAATTAGCAATTACCTTTTGTATAAAAACTCACAGAAAATTTAATTTCATCAACAAAACCACTTTCTGCAACCATTGGAGGTAGCTCAGTTGAACTACCAATTGCTTCTAAAACATTTTTAATAGTTAAATTTGATCCAAAGCTACGAGCATAAAAAAAACATTCTGTTGGATTTGCTGTATTAATGCCAAAAGCACCATAAAACTTAAACAAGACAGGAGTATTTCCACTTGGAAGCTCATCATCCGTAATTTTTCCTAGCCAAATTTCTGCTCCCATTTCTAGAAGTATTTTCAATAATAAATTATTGAAACTAACTTATTAACAAAACTTTTTAAAACAAATTTACATTATTGTCTTGTATCAACCAACATAAATACCTATAGATGGAAGACCAGTCTTGAGATCAAGTCCAAGGTTTAATCTAAGCTTATCAAATGCAAGCCACTGTATGTTAAATGGTTTTTTAACTATCCCATCCATACTACCACCAATTTTTAACTGCCCACTTAAATCAAGCATAATAAAACCTGTGAAAAAAAAAAATTTATAAACTAAAAAGAACAATACTTTATTTATGTTTATTTTTTTTAATAACAAAGTTCAAAAATATATGTGAAATTTACTTATTTATTTTAAAGATAATATGATACTTCCAACAATGCTGCAAGCAACCGCTATTAAAGTTGGAGGTTTCTGGAAGAGAAAAGACAAAGTTTATAAAGCAAGAAAACAATTAACAGATGACTAAAAAGATTGCAAATTATATGATTCAGGAAAGCAAGATGGAGGGAGAGAATTCCAAAGAACTGATGTTAGAGGAAAAAAAATAGACAAAAAAGAATTTTTGGATCACATAGGAACAGTCACAGTAAAAAGGTAAGACTTAGTAGAATGACAAGTAACACGAGAATGAATTTTAGTAGATGACACAAAAGACGCTAGCTCTTTAGAGCAGTGCCCATTATAGTTTTTATAAAAAAGAAAAAGAGAAGCAACATTGCAATGATGTGTAATGGTTCAAGGTTTGCTGCAAGAGTAGGTCCAACTATGTTTACAATGCGTTTTGGACCTTGTCTAAAAGAGATAGGGCATCATTCAAAGATCCGCTCCAGTTAGCAAAAGTGTTCCATACAACAACAAATTTGAGATTTATATAGATAAAGAATAGAATTCGGAATAAGAAAGTGGTGACGATAAAGAGATGCAACCTTAACAGATGCTAATTTTGCAATCCATTTGATAAACGGTTTTCAAGAAAGATCGAAAGCAAAAGTAAATTGTAGAAGACAAAGGGTAGATTACTCATTGAGTATATTACCATTTATAAATAGAAAGACCTAGATTGTTGTGATATCAATTAGCTGAAAAAATTTAGTTTTATCTGAGTTACAGTTCACCAGCCACTGTGAGACCCATGCTGTAGCAGTGAGATCCTTTTCAAGCTCAAATTCCCCTACCAAACAATTATCTAATCCACATCTATCTAATGCATGACAAAACCTATCAGTTATTACCATTAACAAACCACCAATTGAACAAGGAGATCGAAATCCATATTGATGATCAGAAAGTAAGTTATTACATTTAAGAGAGATTAAGTGTTTGTTAATTAAAAACTCGAAAAACCTTGCTTATGATAGTAAGTAAATTAATGAGATGATAGTTAGATGAGTCAGATCACTCAATGTTAGATCAATTTGGAAAATATGAATAACAAAGATGACATGCTTTATATATACATACATATATATATATATATATATATATATATATATATATATATATATATATATATATATATATATATATATATATATATATATATATATATATATATATATATATATATATATATATATATATATATATATATATATATATATATAATATATATATATATATATATATATATATATATATATATATATATATATATATATATATATATATATATATATGTATATATATATGTCAAATATATATTTGTATATTTGACAGCTCCAGAGAACACTTCAGCAAACTTTAACATATATGTTGTCCTGACCACCAGCAGTAGAAAAGTCTCAGTAGGAAATCACTTTGGATACAGAAGCTGAAGTGATATGAATGTCAAGCAATGAATCAACCTTTTTGTTGACAATATCAGCTAGGATGTTATTAGTGGAATCAAGGGATGAGATAGATAAAAAGTTCTTCGCAAGCAATTCAGCTATGTCTTTAGGTGAGGTAACAAAATCTGAACCATGCAAGAGGGGAGGAATAGCAGATTTTCCCTTGTTATAGACACTATTAAAGGCTCTCCCGAAGTCTCTGAAGCCATGTTTTTGAGATGAAATGCAAGGTTTTGTGACCTGAGAATAGCTGGCTTTGGCATTTAAGAAAATTTTTTCTAAAAATAGTAAACAGATATCTGTTTTCTGGAGAATTATTTTGCAATAAATAAGAAAGTAATGGTTGCAATTGGATATCGCAGCAGCACAATGAGAAGAAAACCATGACTAAGAGTGAGACTTGACTTGGAATTGTTGGGAGGGAACAAAAGATTCTATGCCAGCCTGAATCCAAAAAGTTACATAAAAAGCACATTTGTTAGCAAAAAGACAAAAGATTTCTACCCAAGGGCCATCATAAAGAAAATCATGGGAAGGGTTCTGGTCAGTTTTAAGGTAGTTGTAAAAGGTGCAATCATAGGGTGATTCTGATAATGAAGAAGAATGAGATAATAGTTTTGGAGAGATCAAACCATGATCAGAAGCACCTAAGGGTGAATGTGGAGAAATTGAGCACTGACTAGGATCAGAAACAAGACATAAGTCAAGTAGAGAAGATAAATGATTTGGATTGTCTAGAAAAAAAGATGAATATTTGTGTTAAAGTTTGAGAAAGATAAAATTTGTGGGCCTCAACGCCTTCAGAGTCACTAACAGTAGAACCAAGCCCTGTAGTGTAATGAACATTAAAGTTTTTGTTTTTTTGTTTTTTATTTCATTTTCATTCAGCTCATTCTGTCACAATATATATATATATATATATATATATACCTGTAAAGTGTGGAATTTTACGTTAAAGTTAGGAATGATCACAAACCTTCTAAATGGATAATAATTGAATTTTCCACTCAATAGGATAATGAAATCCATTTTTTATGTATTCAATTATATTCAATATTTTTATATTTCACAAGGAAAAAAATTTTATTGTAATAATCATTTTATTTTAATTCATTCAAACAAAACAAATTCAATTTTTACATTTAATAATAAATACATGTCTTTAATAGTGAATATGCATTTAACTTGTTACTTTGCAGAAGCTACATAAATATAAGGAGGCACTAGAAACTTTCAAGAGTAATGGTTACACTGTATCTGATATATTTGGTGAAACAATGAGGTCCCAATACATTTGATACATTTATTTATATGCTTATCTAGTGTTACTTCTATATTTATAGTGCAAATCTTTTATTCTTAGAATGTGTTTCTAAATTTTCACAAGTTATTGTTTTCAAAATATCACAAATTTAAAATTAAAAGCATAAGAAATTTTAATTAGCAAAAAACAATTTTTCTCTCTCAAGAACTCTATTGTATTTTTAGCAGCCATCTTTATTTTTTTTACTCTAGCAAAGATATTCAGCACATAAAATAAAATACTTTTCTTTATTGCTTGCTGCGTAATTTTAAACTCTCTTAAGCATAAGCCTGTAATCAATTGAACACTTTTTGTTAAATTTATGAACAAATTAAAAAGATAACTTTTTATGAAAAATTATTAATCTAACTACTTAAAAATCACTTTTATTAGATTAGACAGTGGCAGTGTCAATTTTTTATCAATTTAAATTTTCATTTTATTTTATAGAAATGTTATAATTATAAAAAAAACTTATTTCATTATAAAATCAAAGATGTTTCTTGATTTAGTTGTTGCATAAAAATGTTTCAAGACTAAGACTAATTTAAACTAATTTAAAATGTATTTACTTTCCTAAGGCCAAGGAAGCAAGAACAGTTAAAACTAATTTAAACTAATTTAAAATGTATTTACTTTCCTAAGGCCAAGGAAGCAAGTACAGTCAAAAAAGCTGCTTAATATTTTATTTTTCTGAATAATTTTCCCAACCTAAATTCTTTAAAACATAAGTCTTGAAAAGGCCACCTGTGCGATGGCAGTTGTAACAAATCACATTTCCAATTACTGTACAACTACTATAAAAGTTCTGGCAAGAAACTAAAACAATTTATTTTAAGAATAAAATCAATTAAGTTGACTAAAATTACAAAAAAAGTGTACAGAATTTTGTTTCATGATAGCAAAGCTAAGCAAGATTTTTTTAAAATACTTGTGAATAAACAATAATTTTATGACAAAACATACTTAACAACATATATTTTTACTTTTACAACATTAACAACATTAACAACATTAACAGCATATATTTATACTTAACAACATATATTTGCAACATATATTTACAAAAAAAAAAATTATAAAACGCCGTTTTTATGTTATATAATCATAATAAATGCATAGTAGGGCGGGTCAAAACCATACTTTTTTTAAAATTTTGACAAGCAGCACTATGTGGAGTTTTTGAATTGGTATAATAACCTTTGTAGACTAAATATTTTTTACACACACCACTAGGGGTTGCACTACACGCCCTAATTTTTCCACAAAAATTTTTTTTTTTTTTTTTTTGGTATACATTCTTTTAACAAAAGAACTTGAAGCAAAAAAAAATTTGTTGCTCAATTTCAGAATTATTAACTTCATGCCTTAAATAAAGTTTCAAAATATCATGGCAGCATAAGAACTTTTGTTATGATACTATGTAATTTTTTAGTTTATTCTATTTGTTGCATTTTAGTCTCTATACATAGTATATTTAGTGTTAGTGTATATATTTGTCTTCTTTTTATTTGTTAGTAATTAAAAATAAAATATAACTAATAATAAGCAACACATTGTATCATGGCAACATTTCATACTCGCAGTAAAACTGACAACTTAACATTTGGACAAGGTTCTAAATTTCCAACTGCAATGGTTCCTACCAAAAAGAGATGTTGCGAAATATTGCTACTATGTTCGTAGAAATGAAGATGCTAAAGCCAAAGGATCAAGTTCTGCTCATAAATATTACATATTAATTACCACTGAAATTGAAAATATTTGGCGTAAATTTTTTCAGCAATCAAAACAGAGGGAAAAGCATCCAGTTTAAATAAAACTTCAAAAATTAGAAAAAATTTTTATGACAAATTGAAAGCTTTTATAATTAAATACACATAAAAATGTTGAGAAAGACATTGATAGACAAATTACTGATGACAATTTCTATGAATCTGAGAATAATATCATATGATGATATTATTCTCAGATTCATATGATGATATTAGATAAATCTAATCATGAATATGACAAGCTATACAAATCTGATATCTTAAAAAAATGTAATCAAAATAGGTTTCATTACAATGAACTAGCAATCATAGCAAATCTTTATCGTGTCAGTTACAGAGCAACTGCTGCTATTGTCAATGCTACTCTAAAAGACATGGGTATACTAAATGAATCAAATATGCTTGATAGGAAAAAAGTAGAAAGATAAAGACTTTGTGTTGGACAAAAAAATGTAAATGAAAGAAAATGCAAAAATTTGAAATTACAATGTATTGGTTTTGATGGAAGGAAAGACAATACTGTAACAACTGCAGGGATAAATAAAGAAGAACATATTACTATAATTGTTAGAGAACCAAGCAGCAGATATATAGATCATCTAACACCTGATAATGGAACTTCTTGCTGCATTGCTAATGAAATTCTCCATTTAATATTTGAAACTGGCAGCAGCGGTTCTTTAAATGCTCTCTTATGTGATGCAACTGTAGTAAATACAGGAAAATTTGGAGGGGTGATAAAATTAATTGAAACATGACTCGTAAGACCTATGCAGTGGCTTGTTTGTCAACTACATTTAAATGAACTTCCCTTTAAACATGTATTTGAGTTGATTGATGGAAAAACTTCTAGCCCTGGATCATTTAAAGGTGAAATTGGTAAAAAAATAACAAAGGACTTAACTAATTTAGCAGTAGTTCCTTTCAAAAAAATGCTTCTTTTCATTTATTTCCAGATAATATCTTTCGTGAATTAAGTTCAGTTAAAAAATATTTTTTAGTATCTGTTTATCTATTCAATCAGGAGATGTATCAAATAAAATATTTAAAAATTCTCCCGGAAATCTTCATCATGCCTGATGGCTCACAAGAGCAATTCGTATTCTACGCTTATACATTTCTACAGAAAAGCCAACAAAAGAATTTATTGACTTGGTTACAATAATTATGCAAAGCTATGCACCAGGATGGTTCCAAATCAAAGCAAATTATTTGGCAATTAATGGCGCTCAAAATTTTTGGTATCTTGCTCAATTAATTAAAAATGCAGTTATTAATGTAAAATACAAGAAGGTAATGGAGCAAGTTTTGAAGCAAAACTCATATTTTTCTAACCCAGAGAATATTTTATTGGCGATGATAAGTGATGAAAGAAAACAAGTTAGAATTACAGCAATTCAAAGGATACTTAAATCCACAAATACTAGGGAATCCAATAATTATTTTAAACTTCCAACAAGATTAAATCTTGGAGCCACAGATTACTGTGAATTAATAAATTGGGATATCGAGGAAGTTCATTCACCACCTTTACTGAATGATTATTCAAATGAAGATATTTTGGAAGATAATGATAGTCCATTAAATATCCTAAAGAATCCTTGTCATAGTCAGAATATGAAAAGAATAGTTGGAGTAGTCACAAAAGCATCAGAAAATAGATATGGCTACAAAAAACGTCACAAATTTGTAATAAACCTGTTGGACTCCAGAGAAAAAATGCCTGAATTTGATGGGAAAGCGCAATGAAAATAAGACATTTATAAAAATATGTATTTTTTTATAGCCTAATGAGTGACAACTAAAATAAGAGATTGGATTTAAAGACACATTTCTCCCTAAAGGAATAAGATTTTATAAATAGGAAACTGTTTTAGAAGGTATTTTTATTCTAGTTTATAAATATTTTATGTGTTTTTATTTTTTATAGAAAAATGAATAAAAAAATAAATTCAAAACAAAAAGACATTAGAAAACGTGTGTATGAATTTTATTTAAATTACAAAAATGCTGGTAAAAAGTTCACTTATGACCACTTTAAAGTTGAGAATATACCTAAAAGTACTATCTACAAGAGAATTAAACGTGCTGAAAATGAATCTGGGTACCAAAGAATTCAAGGAAATGGAGTAAAAGCTAAAAAAAAGACCAGGACAAATATAGAAAGGCTTAAACTCATGTTTGACCATAAAGACAGAGTTTCTCAACAACAGAGAGCTAAAAAGTTCAACTGTACTCAGCAACACATTAGTAAAACATTAAAAAAAAAGAACAATTATTAAATCAAGAAAAAAAATGACGATTTTAAAACGCTCTGACCAGCAAAAAGCAGTAGCAAGAACTAAGTGCAGTCGATTGTGTCAGAAATTCAAAAATCGTAAATCAAACATTGACAATGAGTCTTATTTCACATTAAATCACTCCAGTATCAATGGAAATGATATATTTTATACTAGTGATGTAAAATCTACTCCATCTACAGTTAAATACCAAACAAACCAGAAGTTTCAAAAGAAATTACTTCTACGGATTGCTTTTTCTGAAAATGGAATTTATCAACCTTATTTTGTACCAAGTGGACTTGCTGTAAACCAAAAAATCTATTTAAACAAATGTATTAAGAAGAGACTTATTCCATTCATCAATAGGAATCATTCAGATGGTGCATATGTATTCTGGCCAGATTTAGCATCATCTCACTATGAAAAAACAGTAATAATGTATCTAAACAAGGAAAAAGTGCATTATGTTGTTCAAGAAAATATTGTTCCTAAAAATTTATCAATAAATTTTATTGCAGTAACTCTTGAATTATTAGCTCTTGAAAATAAAAAAAAGCTTTACAGAATTTTTCATGATTTGAAAGTAAAGTACATTCTATATATACTCTGAAAAAATCTACTGTTAAAGCACCTGCTAAACTAAATGCAATTATCTCAATAACATCTCCCGATAAAGCTCAATTTACTTTTCAGCAATGCATGCTATTTAGTATTACTTGCAACCAAGAGAAAGCTTAATTAATGAAATGAACTTTTGATATATCCAGTACAAAAAGTTTTTGATAACTTTAATTAAAGACTTGATCTTCATTTTTTGAACTAGTGAAAAAGTATCCTACTGTTTATGAAGTTGTTTTAGAAAAAGCAACAAAGTGTTTGAGATTTTCAAATCGATTATCTATCAAATTTATCCATCTATCAAAAAAAAAAAAAAAAACAGAATTATGTCTAAACTTTGTTGCTAATCAAACCAATCTATCAAATCTAACTTCACTTGAAAAAAAGAGAATGATGTCTATACTTTGTTGCTCAACTGCTGTCTGCTTATGAAAACTTTTTTACTGTAAAAATTTAAGTTTTTTTTGGTGTCTGAATTTTTATTTTTTATAATATTTTCTTCATATTCATTAACTTTATGTCATTATATTGTGCAGAAGAGACAATTTGTTTAACTATGTTGCTGTTTGTTTGGCATGAATGAATGTGTTGCAAATCGTGTCTTGTACCATAAGTCTATCAGTTTCCTCAAAATGTAAACACCTGTGATTGACTGTCAATAATTCTCTTCACATTTTCGTGTTGCAAACTTGCTGCATTTTAGATAAATTATTCTTGAGGCAAGGGAAATCCAACTTAGTTTTTAGACAACTATAGTTTATTTTAGGGGTGCTGAAACAATGTCAAGTAGTTACGAATAGAATAAAATACTTTTCAACAAATCTAAGCTTTACCTAAATTACATGCTTTGCTTGCTAATGCTGAGCCATTAAAACTTTGTGAGCGATTATCCAGTGGTCTGAAGTGGTCATATTTAAAAAGCTCTTTAACATTTTTTTTAGCTTTTAATTGGTAAATTGCAGCGCTGGCCAGAATTTTTGATGCAAGAGCCGCATAAAAATACTGAGTTGAACAGTTGCAATAAATATCTTGCTATGCAAACTTCATCAAAAAAAAAAAATTGAATGCAAACTTATATTTTTAACATTTTTATATATATTTAGATTTTTTCTTATTGGAAATTTTACTTTTATAAATAAACATAATAACAATTTATGTTTTAAATTTCTCTTAAAAAAAAAGAAAAAGTAAAAACTAATCTTTGAAATAAAACTTGGTTACATCAAACCTGATCCCTTTTTATTTACACTAGAAAATCATATATAGAAAAATTTAAGAAAACATCTCCAGATTATAAACTTTTTTTAAAATTAACACAATTACAAGTCATTTAATAATAAGTTTCCTTATTATAAAAATAAACGGAAGCAAAATATAAAAATCTAAGCTTAAGATGAAAAGGTTTCTTTAAAAAAAAAAAAACTATAATGTATTTGAATTGAACTTGCTTTTATTTGAATTGAACTTGCATATAACCACCAAATAGCATAATTTACTAAACTTAAAACCAAATAATTAAAAAAATCACCACAAAATAAAAGAAATTTTTCAATGAATTTAAAGTTTAAGTTCAAATTAAAGTGAAAATGAAATAACTTTAATTACTTTTATTTTTATTTATCAAAAATTCAGACAACAGAAAGAATTCTTTTTATAAAATTTCTAAAAAATCTAAAAGATCAATAGTTTTCGAAATGATCATTTAAAAATTCGTCTTGTATAACTATTTTAATTTTTTAATAAATTTTCATAAAACCTTTAAAAGAGGCCGGATGTGGCTTGCAAGCCCCAATTATATTCTAAGTGCCATATGTGGCTTGCAAGCCACTATTTGGCCATTCCTGGTATATAGCTTGTCATGTTTCTAAGGAATTTTAAATTAGCTGCATAAAATGATTATAACTTTTTCTCAAAAAACATAAACCATCACAGCAAATTTTTTTTTGTTAAAAACAAAAAAGTTAAAATAACAAAACAATAAAAACAGCACATTTCTTACAGTAATATAAATATAAAATAATATAAAAACTTATACAAAAATTAAAAAAAAAAAAAACCTTTAATTTTAAGCAAACTTTTATTTTCATCTCCATCAGCACCATACTTAACATGAAATTCACAATTTAAAGAAATTTTGTTATTAGTTGCTCCAAATTCTAATTCTAAGAATACATTTTTGAGAACAACATCATCTGTTTTGCCTAGTTGTATTGTGCCTTCTATGCCAGCTTTGATTGTAACTGAGGGTTTGTTTTGGTCATCAAACACTTTAATAAAAATGAAATACTTTTTATAAAAGTTTATAATAATGTTATTTTCTGTCATTATTATATACTTTTTTTGCTTGTGTTTAACAATAACAATAAAATAATAACAATCAACAATAATACTGAACTTAATTTTAATTTAATTTCAAATTCTTTTTTCAAATAATTTAGTAATAAAAAACATAAAAATTCAAATGACCATAAAAACCCCAATTCTAAATATTGCAATCCTCCTTATAACTATGCAATACTGGTAAAAAATTGCATGCAAATTTCATAGGAAAAACTAATTAATTTTTTTAATAATTAATTTTTAATAATTTTTTTAAATTAAAAGTTAATTTGTACATGTAGCTAAAAAGCATTTGGGAAGTTAAAAGTATAATTATATATTTATAATTCATTTTTATTTATTGTTTATTTAATTAATTAATAATTTATACAATTATAAGTATATGCAATTATAAGTTTTAAATTATCACAAGTTGTTGTCACAAAGCAAAATTAGTGCTCAATCAAATTGTTCAAGTGAATTTTTTTTTCTTTTCAAAATTATTAATTTAAATTCACACAAATCTATATCTTCCAATGACCCTACAAATTTGTTTTTAATAAGTGAGTTTTAATGTTAAAATATTATTTTTAACATTGAAAAACTTGTGTTTTAATGAAGTTAATTAATTTATTCAGGAATAAAAATTGAAAATGAAACATCTACAGTGGAAAACTGAATCTAAAAAACGTTATGTGTTGCAATTGTGGATTGCTAGTATGTTAACAGCATTCAGTAATTAAATAATTTTTTAACTTCTATCAAATTAACATAGAAGTTTTTAAAAAAGCACCTTTTAAAAGATTAAAGGATCAGTTAGAGTATTATGCAAGTTTAAGAAGTTATATTGTAGATATGATTGTTTAATTAGTAGCCATTGTAAGTTTATAGAAATATAATATGATTCCATTTTGCAATATTCCATAGATTCTTTCAAAAGTATTAATCAAAGTTCCATTAACATATGAAAAAAAATGAAATTAAAAAACACTTAAAGCTTTTCCATGCCTTATTTCAGCAACATAAGTTTTAGTCATCAGTTTAGCCACCAATGAATGCAATTATGAAATAATAAAAAATGCAATTACAATTATGAAAATACATCCTGATAAATTTTCTTATGTAGCTGCTAAAATGAAAATCATAAACAAAGCTTTTTTTGTGTATTATCAAATAAAAACCTCCACAGTGAGCAGAAAATTAGACAAAGTTAAACATTTATTACCAATGGTAATTTGTGCCAGCACTGAGTATAGTGAAGACAAACAAACAAATAGATTAGTACAAGCATATACAGCAATACATCTTACTTACTTCAATGGTCCTAAATTTTACTATAAACATGGTTAAGATTTTTTCAACATTTTTTGTCCTTTGACTCAATATTGTCAACCAATTCATTTCAAACAAAAAACAGTAAAGTCAGAAACAGATCGTTTCCGCAACATTTGACTTAAAAAAACAACTCTTGGTATTCTATCAACTATTTTTCACTAATTTGATTATTATATTTTTTATTGTTATGTGCTACCATTATTGGTAACTACCCATAATGATGCAGAAAATAGCAACTATGGAAATACAGCAAGAGACATTTTTCAAATTTTTGAACTAGCTGCTGATATAACTGTACTATAAAAAACTTGTTTCTAAAAGATGCTTAGGTTATTCTTCAAGTTTTGTTTAGTAAATACTACATCAAAACAACTGATTTCACAAATATTGAACTCATGCCACTAAATTGCTTGTAGAAAAAGATACTTGGTATTAAATGCCTGGATCTAATACCATCTAATAATAATTTAGATTATAATTGGTCCAAAGAAAAAGTTGAAAATAAAATTAAAAAAAAATAATTAAAAAGTATAAAAAATAAACAAAATAAAATTTCAAACAAAAACATTCTAAGAAATACTTACATAAACTTCCATGAAGGTAAATCTTTTCAACTTTTTTTTCGACAAGAAATATACATATGCCATTACCATTACATTTAGAAACATTAGTATCCAGCGAAACATTAGCTCTTAATATAAATCCTATATAATTTATGTGAACAAATAAAAAAAAGTATTAAAACAAATTTTAAGAAAATCTAGATAGAAAAAAAGATTGCAGTGCTATAAAAGGTTTAAACTTTGCAATTTGAGTTTAAAATCAAAAGTTCACAACTTTAACTAAAGTGATTTTACGCTCTAGTAACACAACTTACTTTAATTTTATTATTGTCCCAATTTTATTGGGCAATATTTATATAATAATATAAAACATTAAATATGACAGAACATTTATAAAAATTCTTCCTGAAAAAACTGTAGCACCTTTGCCTATCTCAATGTCTCTTAAATCATCTATTGTGTCAAAATGCGTTTTTTTTTTACTTTCTTTTGATGAGCTGGAAGTAGAAGGTTTTGAATTTGTAGGACTGGTATTAGACTTAGCAGGATTTGTATTGGCACGAGCTATGGCAGAAGCTGGTTTAGTGCTTGCTGGTTTTGAGCTTGTAGTAGCACTTGATTTTTGACATTCTGGATTTTTTGATTTTTCACCTTGACAATTGTTTTTTTTTGCAGTACTGATCAGCATTACTAAGAAAAAAAGACAAAAAAAAGAAAAATTAATTTTTTAAACTATATTAAAATAACAACGCTATTTAATAAAAAACTGGTTGTTTTTTTATTTTAAAATTATATTAAATTTCATAATTTTTTAAAATTCTGATTCAACACAATGATTCATTCATTCAACTATGATTCAACAACTAATTCAACAAGGCTGCAAGCAACTACTATTAAGTTAAGAGTTACTAGAAAAAAAAAGAATAAAGTTATAGAGCAAGGAAACGGTTGACAGAAAGCCTTAAAAATTGAAGATAGGAGAGATTTTCAAAGGTTTTAAGTGCAGGGACAAAAATTAAGCCAGTAAAAGACCATGCAGGGACAGATACAGTAAACAAATGAACTATGCTGAATGACAAGTCAAATAAAAATGAGTTTTAGTTAATGGAACTAAAGAAGATAACCCCTATAGAGCAGCAATCATGGTATTATTTGTAGAAAGGCGAACGAGATACAACTATATGATGATGGGAAGCAAGCTTAGCAGAAAGAGCAGGTCCAACTACATTTACAATGCAAATTATGACAACAGTATTCCATACAGAGATGAATAAGAGATTTGTAAAGGTAGAGAATAGAATCAGATGTAAGATGATGGCGAACGCAATAAAGAGAAGCAACCTTAGAAGATGCTAATTTAACAATCGATTGTATATATGGATTCTATTAAAAAGGTCAGTAGTAAACAATAATCTTACATAAGATATAAAGACATTAAAAAGAGAACTCAGTGAGAGAGTTGCTGTTCATAAGTATACGAATGTTAAAATTTACAAGCTACTGCAATCTGTTACAGAAGTGAGATCAGATTTAAGATCGATTGCCTGTTCTAAGCGATCGAAAAGAGAAGACTTTTTGTCAAGACAAAAGTATAAAATTGAGTCATCAGCAAAAAGAGCTACTTTAGATGTAAGGTTGTTAGGAAGATCATTAATGTAGATAAGAAATAAAAACAGGACCAAGAATAGAAATTTGAGGTACCCCAGAAATTACTGGGAATGAAGAAGGGTGTTGGCCTTTGAGGATGACTTTAATAAAACAGTTAGAAAGAAACAATTTAATAATCTCAAAAACTTTCCCAGGTACAACATATGAAACAAGCTTATGGAAAAAAAAACAGCATGACAAACTTTGTTAAAAGCTTTAAGTATTGCTAATAACAGAAAGAAGACTGATCAGACAATTATTAGTGGGGTCAGAATGTTCTCCAGAGTTTTTGTAGGTTGGAACAACAGATGCCATTTTCCAGCAGGCAGGAAAACAAGACTCAGTCAAGCACTTATTAAATACTTTAGAGAAAATTGAAGAAAGTTCTGGAAAACAATTTTGTAAGACTATGACAGGAATGTTATCTGGATCAAAAGCCATAGAAGAGTTTAATTGAGATATGACTTTAGCAACGTAAGCTGGAGTGATTTGAATGTCAAACAATGGGTAAATCTGTTTAACTGGAATGGAATTTCGAGATAAGATACAAAATTTAGTGAATTGAGAATAAAAAAGCTCAGCATCAAACAGCAACTTTTTTCATCAATTTCTTGCAATAATAAATAGCCATTTGTTCTCAAGAAAATTACTCTTTTGAAAAAGACAAAAAAAATGATTACACTTAGATATAGAAGCTGCACAAGCTGCTATTTCTATTCAAAAATCTAAAGTCAAGCCTCATTCTACTCCATGGTTTCCACAAGGTGTAAACCATGAAGTAGAATGAGGCTTGACTTGGATCTAACGAAAAGTAACAAAAGCTTGCATCCCTGCCTGAATCCAAAAGGTTATGTAGGAGGCACATTTTTCAGCTGAGAGAGAAAAGACATTAGCCCAAGGACCCTCACAAAGAAAATCAAAATCATACCCAGTTAGCTTTAGGGTAGTAGTAAGTAGTGCAATGATAGTGTGAAGAAGTACAAGATATTAGATTTATAGAGATAATTGCATGGTCAGAATCAGGGTAATTCTGAACAACCTAAGGGAGATTCTGAACCACCTAAGGGAGAAAAAGAGCACAACTTACTGTGAAAGAGAACTGTAAACAAACTAGGGTCAAAGATAAGACATAAATCAAGGAGTGAAGGTAAATTATCAGGATTGCCGGAAAAAGGGGTCACAAAGTTAACAGTATGAGTAATTGAGAAATGCAGAAGTTATAGACTTTAGTGTCAGCAATGTCAGTGATGTTAGAGCCAAGCCATTCAGTGTGATAAGCATTAAAGTTACCATTAACAACAATATTTGCAGAGGGTTAACAAGGAAGGGTATGGTCAATTTGATCAGAAATTATATCTAAAAGAGTGCAAACTTGGGAAAAAGGAAAATGATAAAGAACAATGTGAAAAGTAATAGAGATAAGAGGTACTAAGCAGTAGCACATAAAATGGTCTGAGGATTCAAACCTAATTTTAAGACAAATAGGCGTAAGTTGATTTGACTTGGTGGTAGAAGTAAAATAGTTAATTATATGACATTTAGAAAATGCTTGCAAGCATGTTTTTGCAAACCAAAGTATAGTACTCATCAACATTGATATCTGAAGAAGGAGTTGTAAGATTTAAATTAGTCTAACTAAGAGCAAGCAAGCCTGGTGAATTTTGAAAGAGGTAAAATTTAACTGATGGCTTCGCAGGTTGCTTTGCAGACCTTTGGTGGGATTGTTTTTTGTGTTTAATATTCTGGGTTACTTTTGGCATGATTTGAGTTTAAAGAGGATTTGACTCATTCATATATAGAGCATGGCCTCATAAGTAATGATCTATGCAGTTTTTTCAGTCCTGTTAATTAACCCTAAGTCATAACATAGAGCTGCTTATGAGGCTTTGACAATGCGCACCAAAAGCATAAGCAGGGACACCGTTCATGCGCAACATGGCACTGTTAATACTGACATTTTGCAGCTGTTGATGGAACAGCCTCTCTGAAAGCTACCACAGAGAAAACATTACTACCAGCCAGCCTCAGAACCATTAAACTGAGTTTTAAATCTGTACCCTCATTAAGAGATAACAGGAGTTGCATAACCACTATCAAGAAGGTGCAAACAAAAATCTATGAGTTGAATCAAGAAAATCCAGCATTCATCATTCTTGGCAGGAAAAAATTTAACACAGGTTTACATCTACACCAGCCTAATAGATGAAAAAGGGGTTCGAAGCTGGTTAGCAGAATTATTCTGCTTACCCCTCAAGTCTTTGCCTTGGAGGCCTTCTACAAGATAGTAGCTGGATGCCATTAACATCTGTCCAAGATGAGTATTTTTATGGAGAACCACCTCTAGCTTTTACCCAACCAAAAGCTGTAAGGCAAAGGATTTTTAAGTAGGAGTTTGTTTCTCCTAGCTTTAACCTTTAAAGCAAACCCTACAAAGTAGCATGGAATGGGACAGGTAATACTGGTAGTAACTTACGGGAGAGTAAACACCACTTATTCTGCTTATTAACGATTATTAACATTTTGAATAAGATACTAATTTTTAATATTTTTAGAACATAATCATTTTACATATAATAAGTCATATTTAGTAAATGTAAAAAAAAAAAAAAAAAAAAAAAAAAAAACAGACATATTCATAACATACTTATTAAAAACATTCTATTTTTTATTCTTATCTTTAAATATTTTAAAATAGTTTTCAAATTCTTTATACGACTTATAAAAAAAAATCAGACACTTTAAACTTTTAACTTATGAAATAGGTTTTAAAACAGGTGACTGAATTATTTAAATTACTTAACTTATTTTTTTTATTAACATTAACCATATTTTACAGATCACTATTATTTAAAATAAAGTTTAACTTTAAAGTAACTTTCCTTTAATAAAAAAGTGAGCACCTTCTGTTATAAAACTGAATTTTTCTATACAAACAACTTAATTTAAAAACTAAAAACAGCTCTATTGCCAAAAACTATTAATACTAATGTCGCTAAAAAAGTTGAACCACTAAAAATTACCTATAGTTACATCGCTAAGCCATGAATCTGTCATATTAACATTTGCAAACTGTTTTAAAGCCTTATCTAAACGCATGTTTTTCATTACAAAACCAAAGGTTATTTCAGGTCCAACTTCAGGTTCTTTCCATATAAAAGCAGCAAGTGTTAAACCTGTCATTCCATTTATCACAGGAGAAGCAGTCACTCTGCAAAAAAAAAAAAGTTTTAATTTTTTGCAATTTTTTGAGATAAATAATATTTTGAGATAATAAGATTTTGAGATAAATAATATTAGAACTTTTGAGATATTAATATTATCAATATGTATTATTCATTTTAAAAATATAAGATAAAAAGACGATTTTAATCAAACAGTTTAAAATAAAGTAAACCAAACTTTTTATTTTTAGAAAAAATGTGCACAAAAGAAAATATAAAAAAATCAATTCAAAAAAAAAAAAATGTATACAGAAAAAATAAAAAAGAATTTATACATAAAAAAATACCAAAAAAATGAATGCAGGAAACAATATGAAAAGAATGAGTGTAGAAAAAAAACAAAATGGTTGCTGGTTATTTAACAAAGTAAATTTTAAGTGTTAATATTAATTATACAAATATAAGAAATACATTATACAAACTCTAACAGATTTCAATAGAAAAGTATAATTTATGAAAAGAACCATGGCGTTGCATTTTTAATATGGATTTTTTTATAATCTTACACTATTTTTACTTTCAACTTTTTAAAATTATTTTCTATTTTCTATTGGGATGCATGAAATTTGAAGTTTTAAATCATTTTTATAAATGTTTTTTTTTCCCCAAAACTTTAATACTTAGAAAAGTACTATTGCAGTGAGTAGTTAAGATTAATAAAATTAAAAAAATATAAAAATAAAATAATTTTAAAAACTTTAAAAATTACGTTAGCTCTCCAGTTTGTGATGTCAAATTCAATTTTCCATCAATGTAAAGATCTTTTATAGCAATATTAAATGAATTTTCAAAATTTTTAGTTGCATCATCAAATGGATTGGCTCCAAAATATTTAGCAAGATTTGTGATATCCAAAGCAGGAATTTTAATGTTAAATTGTGAGTAATTATGGGTATTAAAAATAATTTCTATCTTCCCATTGTTGGTAGAATCTGTTAAACTTTTAGACTGAAAACAGCAACAACAAAAAATCTTTATTAAAATTAAAAAAATAATAATAATAAAATATAATTATTAGAGTAAAATACTTTAATGAAATTTCTTTGCAGGAAAAATTTTTATTTGCATAAAAACTTTGACTTTTTCAAGTTAAAAAGTACATATATAATATATATATATATATATATATATATATATATATATATATATATATATATATATATATATATATATATATATATATGAATGCAGCATACACACTGATACACATTAGATACACACTGATGATACCTACTGAAATCAGTAGCTGAGGGAGCTTCACTACATACATCAACAAAAAAATTTTAAAACTGAAAATAATTTTCAAATATATCATAAAAGAAACTAAAGTTAAGACAAAAAAATATAAATAAAAAGAATACACTAAATAATAGAAAATGAAGAAAAGAAAATGCATGGAATTCAAAAAAGGATATAATAATTCAACAAGAATAAATTGATAAAAAAAATAAAATAAAATAGAATAATAGAAAAAAAGAAACAATAAAAACTATATCTTAGCCAAAATATAAACTAGAAGATATATATATATATAAAGACTGATAAAAGCTTAATAAAACAAGTTAAAAAAAAAAAATTATTACAAAGATGTTAATTATCATGTTTCAGTTATTTACAACCAGTTAATAATATTCAAACAAAAGGGACAAGATATAAGAGAAAATAATACCATAAACAAACTACATTTTAAATAATGTAAATAAATTATTAGAGATACAAGTAGACAGCTTTAATGCTACATAAGACTGGTCTTGTTTTTTCAAAAATATTTTTCAAAATATTATCTTTTTTTGAGTACATTAGCTAGTTTTAGGAATCACTAATAACAAATAAACTCATAAATGTTGCTTAGTAACATGACTGTTTTGTTAAAGATAGAAATGTTTTTTTAAATAATTTATAAAAATTTCTATGAATAAATTTGTATTAAAAAACTGCGGTACAATAATGTTTTTCTATATTGCTGACTTTAAGTGACCAATGGGCAGTCATGGTGCAGTGGTTAGATTTCTGGCTCAGAAACATAAGGTCCTAGATTCAACACTGGATCTAGCTCAAAAAGCAACATTGGTAATAAAGAAGGCATAAACTTTCCAATTAAATGCTTTTCCACGCTGCTCTGTGATAAAACAGTAAGGACTTCTGGAAGCACCTTAACAACCACACACATAAAAAAAAAAAAGTGTGCAAAAAAATTGAAGCTAAAATATTTTAAAAACTGTTGGATGAATAAAAGATTCAAATGCTAGATACCACCTGATAGGCGCACTGTACTGATAAGTGAAGAATAAAATAAATGGTTTTAACACAAGGATAAAAATCATAAAGAAATTAAAAAAAAAAGTGAAAAAAAAAAAAATTATTCATAATATACGTTTTTTAAAACTTGTGTATTTTGGATGATTATATTTGATTTGTAATAGAAAGATAAAAACTTGAAAAATTTAAAGGTCAAAAACTTTAAAACTCAAAAACTTTAAAGGTTAAAAAAAAACTTTAAAATTCATAGTTTTGACGTAAAGATTTCCAAAATGTTTCCAATTACTATTGTGACTATTTTGATCGGACTGTTTTGCAAATTTCAATTCTTTTTATTTTTATCACACAAAAAAAAATGCATTATTTGCAAATACTCAAATTTATTTTAGTTAAGTCAATTTACAATAATTTGCATATAGCAAATAGCATTGCATTGTCAACAATATATTATATAAACATGCCAGTTTGTGCTAGTAAGATAAAAGGTGGATGGTAAAAAACTCGTAATGCCTCATACATCAAAGTTTCATTATAGGATTCACATAAACCAAAAGACAAAAAAATTTGAATAAGAGGTTTTGAACAAATGGTCAGTGGAGAAAAACTGAGGGATTCAATTGTAATTTCGATTCAAAAGATCTAGGCCTAACAGCAAACATTATACTGTAGATGATACTTGCACACACTAATTTTAAATATTCTAGTATAGATTAATTTTAAAAACTACTTGCTTCAAATAAAACCCTATGACTTTGGAACTTTGCTGTTAATATTTTCAAATATTTGACTAAGTGAGGGATGATGATTGGTATTATTAAATACTAATAATTGGATTTCCTCTCAAATGATTGTTGCTGCAGTTTTAAGATTTGAAATTCACTTTATTTTCTCTTTTCTTTTTATACCAAGCTTAGTAAAGAATATCACGATGACTATCAAAAAAACAGACCCAGTTTTTCAACTTAATCTCAATTGTATTTTGATTGTTTTTTTATATAAATATTTTTTCTTCTAATAAAAATTACAATCATCACTGTTTTCAATGCATGTAAATATTTCTTCCATCACATTATTTGTAGATTCTACAACTATTATGGTACCTAGCTTCAGCAGCAACTAAATCATATTAATTCTTTATGCATGCAGTATCATTTTTTGCAATGTCATTAAACCTATTCAGAATTAATACTGCAAATTTAAGAGTAGCAATTTTATGAATTTTTATTCAATTATATGTAACAATAACTTTTCAAACAAACATTCCTGCAAAACTTGAAGAAAGTACTCTAATTTGATGTTAAAGTTTTAAAAATTACACTAAAAATGCTAATATTCACAATCTTTTTAAAAACATTTTAACACTGTTTTTATTTTAGAAATCAATCATTTAGAAAATTTTTTTTTAATTATGTGACCTGGTTTTTATTGTCGTCAAAATTAAAGTTTATTGAATGCATATTTATACTTACATCTGACAAATAGTACTGACAAGTAGGTACTGGTGCAAATTAATGCACATAGATCAACTGACAAATAAAGATTGGTGCAATTTTTTTTGAGTCAGGGTTAGGGTCAGAGACCAACCAGAATTTGAGGCGTTTTGCATTTTCAAACAGTTTTGCTTTAAGGTGTCAATAGACAATAGGCCTTTTTAAAGTTTTAATCTTTGAAATGGAATTTAATCATAACCGAGTCTAAAAAAGGTGGCGCTCTAATAGTACTCTTGTAGGGCCCCAATAGTACTCGTGTAAGCACGCTCCAATAGTACTCTTTTGTCCCAATAGTACTCAAGTAGCACCCAAATAGTATTTGGGTGCTACTTGAGTACTATTGGGGCAAAAGAGTGTTCTCTTTTAATAATTGCTAAAAACAAGGACAATTAAAAATTTCAAAAAATGTTGGACATTGATTTTATTGACTATCAAAATAAAATCTCTTTTCTAAATCTTTTGAATAAAATTTTTTTTATCTTCTCTACTCAATATTAAGTGCATAAAAGAATAAAAGCAGTTAATAAAAGTACCTAAAAATGAAAGCACTTAATTTTGCTAAATATTACCAAAGTAGAGACTAAAAAACTAATTGTTATTTCTTAACTGTTTGAATGAATAAAAATATGAAACTTGCATTGCTCTGTAAAAACAAATTTTCTTTGTGTTGTGGTCATAAAAGTTATAGTTTGTGTTCAATGTAGGTTTCTTTTAAGTTTTTAAATGTAAGCAAAAGAAATATAGCACTTTAAATCTAAGAGCAAAAATTATGCTATAAATTATCAAAAAAAAAATTAAAAAAAAAACCGTCTAATTTATCAAAAAATTTTAAAAAATTTACAGAAACGTTTGCTTGAGCTTCAAAATTCCAAGGCTCTTCTGAATCATTTTTTTTGCTAATAGCAAAAGTTGGCTTTGATAGCATTACACCAAATCCAATGTCTATATCACCATTGTATGCAAGAGTCATCTTGAAGGTTTGGTTTACTAAAAAATTAGAAAAAATATTATACAATTATTAAAAAATTTAATCTTTTATATTAATTTAAAATTTAAAGTATCAAAATATCTATAATTTTGAATTAAGTCTTTTATGCCTGCTCTATAAAAAATGAAAGCACTTATTAAAAGTGCATAAAAGAATAAAAGCGGTTAATAAAAGTACCTAAAAATAACAACTACATATTGAATAGACTCAGATAACAAATGTTCACTCAAAAACCTTTAGAAAAAAGTCAATCAAATCATTTTGGATAAAAAAAGATCTAAAACATTTTGTTAAACTAAAACTTTTTTTTAAAGCTATTATTTTGATAAAAGCATTTTTCAAATTTTAAATATTATGTTACTTAACCATAAGTTTAATATTAAATCAGCTGTTTTAACACAATTTCTTTTTTACAAATCAACCTGTACTATTCAACACCGAGAGAAATTTATCTTCAGTATTATCAGACATACTTAGTTTTTCTTAAACAAAATCCACAAGAGATTTAATAACTGTATTTTTAACTTAAATTAATCTTTGATTCATGACCAACACTCTAACAAGTTTTATGATTCTCTTAATTAATAACTACCTAAACTTTTTTAAATGACATTTCAAATAAAACTTTTTTTTTACAAACTGATCTTTTAAAAGTTACAACTATTCTTTTAAACTTTTGAAGTTTAAGGAGTTTATAAAGAGTTTATAAAGAGTTTATAAAGAGTTTTCAAAGAGTTTATAAAGACTTTATGAAGCTCAGAAACAAGATTAGGAGATAGCACATAAATTTCATTTTTACCTTTGCTGTCGTCATCAAAAAAGATATTTACTATATAAAATATTTTTATTTTCTTTTATTATCTTTTGTATTATTTATTATTTTATTATTTTATTATTATTTTTATTATCTTTATTTTATTTATATTATTATTTTATTATTATTTTATTATCTTTATTTATTAAATTTGTATTACTTTAATAAATAAATCTTAAATTTTTCAACTGTGTTAAAAACATTGTTACAACTTTATTTTACACTTGTAACATAAATAAAACTTTTCATTTAAAAAAATAAGTTGTAATATATGTTGTCTTTGTTACTTATGATATGCAGCATATAATCCACTTCTATTAATTCAGTCACTTTACGGCCATTTTATGTTGTTTATGAAAAATTCTAGAAATTTAGTCAAGAGATTTAGAGTTAAAAAAATTAGAAACTAATTTTAAAATAAGAAATTATCTTCAAAAGGATTTATTTATAAAAATGTAAAAGTTCTATTTAATTTTCTTTTTACACAAATGCGTTTTAAAGCTGAGGAATAATTGATCAAATATCATCTGATACCATTGAAATAATGTTGAAAATTTTTTGTTTGTAAACCTCACCTATATGCATTCTGACCTAGTTAAGTTTTTCCAACTGAAGTTTTCCTGAATAAGCAATCTTGTGCACCGGTTAGAATGCTCTTATCATACAAAATAAAAAAGTTTTAATATTTTTCAAATATGAAAAAATAAAAACACTTAATTTAAACTGAAAAATATGTAATCATAATTATAAAAACGATACTCTAAACAATTACTGAATATATTTTCCATCATTTGTTATAAATAAATTGTGCAACAGGTCAGTAGCCAATCAATATAAAGTATAGATGGAGAATATAAAGTAGCCAAACAATAGAAAATAAAAGATGGAGAACAATATATTTATTTAACTTTTTAACCAACATCTTTATTTTTTAGTAAAAAATAAAAAAAAGTAAAAACTTCACTTTAATTTTACTTAAGAAAGTTTTATATGAAAATAAACTGAATCATTTCAGTCATTTAAAAAACAGAGAAAAAAAAAGAAAATGTCTTAAAAATACCTAAAATAGTTTAAAAAGTTTTTATAATGTACTGAAAATTTTATATGTAAATAAAACAAATTTATTGAAAAATCATAATGCAAATAATTATATTCCTTTTTTTTTTAAAAAAAAAAATCATTTTCAACAGGTCTGCAAGCAAATACAATTAGGTTGGGGGTTACTAGAAAACAAAAAACAGAGTTAAAGAGCATTTGGCACAAGACTTAACAAATAAAAGTATGTATGAGTCAGAAAAAATGAAGATAGAAGAGATATCAAAGAGTATTTCATACAGTATTTCATTTAGGGATGAATAAGAGATTTTTAGAGGTAGAGAATGGAATCAGGAGTAAAATAGTAGTAAGTACAATAAACAAAAGCAACCTTAGCAGATAACAGATATAAAAGTTAGCAATAATATCTCATCAGATAAAATAATATTGCTAACTTTGCAATCAATCAATATATATATATATATATATATATATATATATATATATATATATATATATATATATATATATATATATATATATATATATATATATATATATATATATATATATATATATATATATATAGGGTGCGATGTTTTATTGTCGCGTCGATTTAATTTAATAACGTTTATAATCTATAGCTTTATATATCCTTTCTAACCTCCTATACAAAAATCTTTTCTCTATATATATTAAATTAAAAAGTCCCATGAGAATATACTGTTAATTACAGTTGAAATAACTTACGTAGAGGCATGACTTTCAACACGCATCTACGTGATTTCTAACACGTACAATTCACCAACATAATAATAGAACATGCCCTCTTGGTGAATTAACTCATAAGTCTAATCTTTGTGGGGGCTTTACTGTTCGTCCAGAGCGTGTTACTTGCAGCACGTTGAGTTCTTGAGAATCATTTTGAACTTGAGCGACATCATCATTATAACTTCCTTTAACGTTATCAGTTTTATCGTTTAGTCTATAAAAAACATCGTTGACTGATTCATTTGAACTCTGTACGTCTGTACGGCGACGCAGGTGTGAAATGTGACGCAGATATACCCGATTCGCAGTTTCCACGTCAAACGACAAAGTATTTTGCTTTCGTACTATGCCTGGTATCTATGGCTGGTCACATTTTGTTTCTTGAGTTGGTTTTACCCAAACATTGTCACCCACTTTGAATTTCTTGCTTACGCCTTTCTCGTCTACCTTCCTCTGAGTATCGACGCCTGGGATGAAACATGTCGATCTTTTCTTGAATTGCTTGGGTGGACTTTCAGTACAATTGGATGATATTGTCTCGTTGTACAGCAAGACTGCCAGAGCGATTGAACAATGTGAGCGAGCAACCGTTCTTTTTATTGCACTCGATAACTGACCACGAAAATAATATTTAGTTGCAAAAAACCGGCCAGATATTTTAGTCGTTTTGAGAACATTTAAATTTTTGTTTTCTTAATTAAGTTTATTATTTTAACGTAAATTTTGAAATATTTTGTTTACGGACATACATGAAAACAAACATAAACTCGAATTTTCTCAAACAATCTTTGTGCGGAAAAGTAAAAAAATACAAAAAACCCGCCAAATCTACGAACAACTAATTCAAAAAATACTAACCGAAATTTCTAATAATAAATAATTAATAATCATCAAAGTTAATACAAATAATTTTAACCACTAATCCATTTTTCTCAGTGTAACCGATAACTGATTCTTTCCCCCAAGAAAGAAAAGTTTTTAAGTTCTTAGAAATTGGTTTACTAACTTCAATTATTTTTGCTTCAGCCATTCTTACAAACTTGTCATACTTAAAAGTTACTTTTTTCTGTTTTAAATACTAATTAAAATTATAAAGCCCACTCACTAAACGTCATCAGCGTTATTATGAAGCAGTTCCGCTTCCTCCTCACATAGTAATTTAACGTTTTTGGTTAATTTCTATTTAGCTAATTGAATTTCTACAGTAACTCAATGATTTAATTATTTCATTTGTTCATCTTACTAAGAAAAATTGTTTAAAATGTGTTTAACTTTTTAAACTACGCAAAGAATAAAACAGTTATTAAAAAAACTTTTTTATTAAAAAATAAATCACTTAGCGTTAGTTTTATTGGTTGAATTTTGTTGGACTTTTCAGGGCCATGGACTGCATTATTTTGGCGGCCATTTTTATGTGCCACAGCGTAAAAATGACTGAAAAAAATATCAAATGGTCCTCTTGACTAATTCGCGGCCCCTAACATTGTGAGTCCCAAGGCTATAGTCCTTCTAATTCCCCCCCCCCCCCCCCACCTCCTCAATCCAACACTGTAAATAAGACATAAATATATAAATAAAAATTATATATACTCTTTGATAAATCAGAGAACATTTGTTATCTTATTAAACAATCATTATTAGTATGTTGTTACTTTATATAAAAAATGTGACTTAGTTAAAAATTATAACAAAGCGACGTTTTAAAAATATTTGCTCAAATCGTATTTAATTTGCCAAAAGTTTTTTCACGTTAAAAGCTATTTTTCTTTTTTTAACTGTCCCTCATCGGTCCAGTTAATCTTTTTGCGCTTTTTTGTTTGTTTTTGAAATGTTCTCAAAACGACTAAAAAGTTGGGCTGGTTTTTCGCAACTAAATATTATTTCCCTGGTTTATTATTGAGTGCGATCGCACCCGCTTCCCGACCAAGCCTGATATATATATTTATATAAACATATATATAAACATATAAATATATATATATATATACATATATATATATATATATATATATATATATATATATATATATATATATAAACATATATATAAACATATATATGTTTATATATAAATATATATATATATATATATATATATATATATATACACATATATATATTTATTTACATATACATATATATATATATACATATATATATATATATATATATATATATATATATATATATATATATATATATATATATATATATATATATAAACATATATATAAATATATATATATATATATTTACATATACACATACATATATAAACGCATATATATATACATATATAAACCCATATATATACATATATAAATATATATATATATATATATATATATATATATATATATATATATATTTTCCATGAGAGGTCAGTAGTGAACTAATCCAATATGACATAAAGACAAAGACTCAGTGAGAGAGTTGCCATTTAATAATATAGGAATGTTGACAGTGCAATAGTTCACCAATTACAATAGTTGTTTGCAGTAAATAACTGGGTTTTGTTGGAGTTAAAACCCACAAGCCCTATGTTATTACCAAAGAGAGATTAGATTCAAGATCATCTGCCTGTTCTAACCCATCAAAAAAAGAAGATATTTTATCAAGACAGGAGTATAAAGATAAATCATCAAAAAATAGAGTCACTTTAGATGTTAGATTGTAAGGAAGATTATTAACGTAGATAAAAAACAATACAAGACCAAAGAAAGAACCTGATGATTGTTGGAGAGGTCAGAATGTTCTTAAATTTTTTTTAAATTGGAACCATTTGCCATTTTTCAGCAGGAGATATCTAGAGAATAATTTTGTAAGACTATGACCGGGATTATAGGCATGAAACTTTAAGTTCCATTAAAGGTTGTTTTTTCTATATTTAAGTATAAAACGCTCTGTTTTTGAAAAACTAAATATTTCTTAAATATTGAGCACTCTACAACGATCAAGAGTTTAGTATTTTTAATACTAAATCATACAACAACAATATATATATATATATATATATATATATATATATATATATATATATATAATATATATATATATATATATATATATATATTTATATACATATATGTATATATATATATACATATATATATATATATATATATATATATATATATATATATATATATATATATATATATATATATATATATATATATATATATATATATATACATATATGTATATATATACATATATGTATATATATATATATATATATATATATATATATATATATATATATATATATAATATATATATATATATATATATATATATATATATATATTATACATTTATTAGCAATTTAAATTTATTTATTTCATGTAATATATAATATTATTATATTATATTTATTATTTAAATATATACTGTCCAAGCTTTAAGAAGCCACTATTTGTCCTAAATGTTTGTTAGTATCATTAGCTACATTAAACTAATATACAATTTTGATCATATTTTGTAGCAAAGAAAGAGAAAAAAAAAATACTTACAAAAAGACAATTCACTGATGTAAAACATATTAGGTTGTTTTGTTTTATCAAGCAAACTAGGAACAACTTCTGTCTGTACATAAACATTCATTTCTCTAAGAAAACAATCCATTAATGTCTTTAAGTCTTCAGAGAACTCCTTAGGTAATTTGATAACAACACCACTCGTTGATATACTTATTTTGATAAGGTTTTTTACCGATGAAGTTTCTGTTTTTACCAGACTATCAGAATTAGTAGCAGTAGGGGTCTGATCATTACCTGGAGGTTTTTTTTCAGGGCCATTAGCAGCAGTAGGCGTCTGAGCATTAGCAGGAGGTTTGTTTTTAGGGGCATTAGCAGCAGTAGGGGTCTGAGCATTAGCAGAAGGTTTCTTTTCAGGGGCATCAGTAGCAGTAGGGGTTTGAGCATTAGCTGGAGGTTTCTCCTTTTTGGCACAATTTTTTAAGGCTTTTTTCATGTCTGTTTCCAAATAGATATGAATACCTTAAAAAAATATTTATAAAACAATTAATTTATTGAGAATAAATTTCATTTTTTGAAATTTGACTGTTAAATATTAAATTTAAATTGGAGACATAATTGGAGCATAGCTCCATAAAATAGGAGACATAATTAGAGTATAAAATTGTAGTATATGATTAAAAAATAAAAATAAAAATTTAAATTGCAATTTCGTTTTCTAATTATTGTTTTACAAAATAAAATGTTTTTATGCAAAAGAGAACTATTTATTATAGCATTTAAACTTTTAATATTTCTATTAACTGAAAATTTTCTGGATGACAAAGGATGGTTCTGAAGCTAGGTCAATAAAAATTTTATAATTACAAAAGACAAAAAGATGAAAAACATGAGTACAACAATTTTTTATTTTTTACGTCGCCATTAGTTTGTCACATAAAATCAAAATCACATAAAATTGGTTTACAATTACAATTAACTTAATGGCTTAAAAAAAATCTATGTAATGAAAGCACAAATGTACTCAATGACAATAGATACTGAAAAACCAGCTGCATATCTAGAATTACCAGCTTGCAGCAATTAGAGCATACATAGTTTAAAAGAAACAACATTAGTATGTGTATTATAACACATGTTGTATACAAGTATACACATATTTTATGTTTATTATAACACATGTTGTGTATGTACTATATGTGTATTATAACATATGTTGGGCATAAGTATAAACATACTATATGTGTATTATAACAATAAAAACATAAAAAGATGCCAAAAAATGGTTACATGCAAATCTTTTAATATAAAAATTTAAAGGTAACAGGTAAATTTAAAGGTAACAGGTCAATTTTAAAATCTTTTTATAGATAAATCTTAAAAACATATAACTCCAAATTAAATACAATATTCTTATAATAAATTTGCATTTCATTTGACATTGTTTTTTCATTTATCTATCATAATAATTATTATTTTTATGCATATATTTTATATATTATTTACATATATTGTTAATATATAAGTCTATTTAAAATTTGGAAATGAGAAATAACTTAAAAATAGTGTGTTATAATTAATTACAATAAATTTAAAAACTTAAAGGAATATTATTTTTAATAAGCTTTTATGCAATATTAAAAACAAAACAATAAAAAAAAAAAAAAGTTCATTAAAAAATTATAGTTTCATCAACAAAAATGCTGATTTAATGAAAGAAATGGTGGCAGTTTTGATAAGATGCTTGTCCATACAGCTTGTACAGTCAAAGCAGATAGAAAATATATTAAACTTACTTCAATGATCAGTAAAAACATTAGAAAAGTTATGCAAAAAGAATAAAGATCTTTATAAATTGTAAATTAAGGACCAGATGTTCCAATAACAAACTTGCTTGAGTCAAGGCTGATCCTTTTGTTTAAACTGGAAAAGATTGTATGATGTTTTTGATCGAATTTATGGTAAAATTAGAATTGAGTAGAAGATATAATAACTTTGGAGATAAAACTTTACCTATTCCATGTTGTTTTACAATTATTATAATTTTAACAGCTAAAAATTTTAACAGCTAAGGTAAAAACCAGTTAATTAAGCAAAATCACTTTAAGCTTACTTTGGTTTGCTAGAAAAAACAATTGTAGGAAATCACATTTTTTTAATAGATTTATATCCAGATAAATTTATAAAAAAAGCTTTATTTTCCTATTTTATGCATACCAGAACCTTTCTGTTATGCTTGGGTTAATAAGTCATAATAAGAACCAGATAATTAAAATTGATTCTCAAAGAATAAGTTGATAGAATCAAGATAAAACACTAAAAAATTTTTCATTTTCAAAACTCAAAGACCTTGTAAATAATAGGAAGATGTAGGGTTACCATGGCTTTTATGGTGGAAAACACAGCGCTAAAACTATAAAAATAAATTTTTTTACTGCATTCTCCTTCGTAAAAGCCAAACATCTAGCAACCCTAATAAGAAGGCTAATTGAACAATAGTTAAAGAGGTCAGATCAAAATCTAGATTTTTTAAAAATTGGATAACTTGAGCTTGCTAAATAATTTAAAAAGTATTGATAAAAGATGTTCTGCAAAACACTTTTGTAAAACTGCAATATAAATGTGTTCAGGACACAAGAAGAGTTTAAGTATGTCTTTAGAAACTAACTTCAAAGAAAAAATTTAACAATCTAAAAATAATGGCTTTTACCATTAGAAAATATCTTTCTGCATCTACATTTTGCAACGATTAAAGCCATTTATTCTCAAATATCATTAAAATAACTTTAGAGCATATTAATATTTAAAAATTAGGGCATACCAGGCTCAACAGATTTTTGAATTTTTCCATTTAATTTGAAAAAACTTTCATATTCAATAAGATCGATTGATGTGTTGGACAAAGAAAGTGTTGCACTTTTAAACAGTTCTTTTATGAAATCAGGACCTTTATAACCAAATTTTGTTTTCAAATAATTTCTAAAAAAAAAATTAAAAGTTAAAAAAAAACAAAAAAACAAACAAAACAAAAGAAACAAGTAAAAATGAGTTTTAAATGACAAAAAAGCTTAAACACACAAAAATGAAACCTTACACAATATCTTTGATTTTATCAAGTTTTACCACAAGAGCAGCTGCAACTGGTTTTCCTTTAGTTTTATCAATAACTAGATTGATATCTAAGTGTATTCCTTGTTTGTCATCATATGTAAATTCAGCAAACAACTGAAAGTGTTTGTCAGTTGTATTGAAAAAACCTAAAAAACAAACCAGAAACATTTTACGATAAACAAAAATTAAATATATGAAAATTACTTTGATCTGTTTATAGATTATTAGTTTGATCTATTCTTTGTTATTAGAAAAAAAAAATAGATCAAACTAATAAATAAAGCAAAGTAATTCTATTATTATTTTCTTTCCAGAAATATAATATTGTAATAAACAAATCTAATTCTCCATTTAAGCAATAGTTACTGAATATTTTTTATAAACCAAATAAACTTAATAAACTATGTTAATTGAAAGCTTTTTAATTTATTAGATGCATTTACATGACTTTTTTACTTAGTTCTTTTAAAACATTTGATTTTTTATCATTGTTTCTTTTTATTGAAAGTTCAAATTATATTTTATATAAAATTTTGTTATGAGTTTAAATTTCATTGAAAAATTTAAACTATTTTGAGCTTTAACATCAATAATATAAAAGCAACTTGTGAAATTGCAATTACGTTTTGCAACAACCCAGCCACCACAAACATGTCTTTTTAGAATCTAAAATTTTAACACCTTTTAGATGTCTAAATTCAGATCACTATAAGACATCTAATAGTAGCCATTTTTGAGACAACGAATAAAATATTATTTGCCAAAAAGAAAATTTTAATATCCTGTTTTTCTTGAATTCAATATTAATTTATGTTTTGTAAAAATAAAAGAGGTTTCAGTAAAAATATCCTATTCTTTTTTGAGGAAAAATTCAAATTTTAATTTGTATTGTAATTCCAATTGTCTTAATTGCATCAACTGAATGGTCATAAACTACCAAATCTTAAACTTATTGTTTTATATCTGTTTACAAAATTTTCTAAACATTTCTTGCATTTTAAGTGTCATGTAAAAGGATATATATATATATATATATATATATATATATATATATATATATATATTTATGTATATATTTATGTATATATATATATGTATATATATATATATATATATATATATATATATATATATATATATATATATATATTTATATATATATTTATATATATATATATATATATACACATATATATTATATATGTGTATATATTTATATATATATATAAATATATATATATGTATATATATAAATATATATATATATATATACACATATATATTATATATGTGTATATATTTATATATATATATATATATATATAAATATATATATATGTATATATATGAATATATATATATATATATATATATATATATATATATATATATATATATATATATATATATATGTATATATATATATATATATATATATACATATACACATATATATTATATATGTGTATATATTTATATATATATATATATATATATATATATATATATAAATATATATATATATATGTATATATATATATAAATATATATATATATATATATATATATATATATATATATATATATATATATATATATATATATATATATATATATATATATATATATATATATAATATATATATATATATGTATATATATATATAAATATATATATATATATATATATATATATATATATATATATATATATATATATATATATATATATATATATATATATATATATATATATATATATATATATATGTATATATATATATGCTTTGTGGTTATTAGGGTGCTCCAAGAAATCATAATGGTCTTACCAAAGAACATCACAAAGGAGCATTTAACTAATAAATTCATGGCTCCTTCCTTACTTTTATGGGACATAACACTAAGTAAAACTGAGAATTATTAATAACTCAATCTAAAATTTTGCTGTCTTGCAATTTTCAAAACATTAGGAAATTGCAAGATATCTTTCATGAGCCAGCAATTTTTTACAAAATTGGTTTTCATCCATTACTAGGTGATTTTTTAAAAACATACATAAGTTATAAAGAGCTGTGCTGTAACCTTTTGGGGCCCTTTAAAGGTTTTTTCAACATAATTGAATTCATTTTAATTGGGTTTTGTTTGAAAAAAATTTATACTACGATAATATAAATCAATTTTCTTATCCCTTTTGCTTGTAAATTTATGAACTGTATCATAGTAATAGTTATATTTTCTATCAACAGTATTGTTAATTGAATTAGAAATACTGTCAATAGAAAATGCAATTTTAGGATTAAACCTGAATATTTTTACTGTGACATTGTAGACAGTAGATAATTTTCAATTAATTTTAGTTTTGAAAATGATTGCGCACAAAAAGCAACGGTAATGGGTATTGTTTATTCTAATAACTTTCGTAATACTGAAATAGACATTGAGATGAGCTGTATTTTAGCATGATACTAGAAGATATTCTATTTCAAATAGTATAAAAGATTCTGAGAAAATAAAACCAAATGTTTGTAAGTTTTTATCTATATTTAAACAATTAAAAATAAATATATAATTACAAGTGTGTGTGTGTATATGTATATGTATATGTTATAAATGTGATCTTAGTGTTGATGGTTATCTTTCTTTAATTCGTAAAGACTCCAATAGTCACATGCTTGGCATAGGCATTTACATTCGTAAGAATTCACCCATTTGTAGGGAAAATAGGTTTGAATCCACAGACTACTCTTTTATGTGCTTTCGTTTAGCACCACTTCACTCTGTCACCTTTCTCTTTGTTCTATATCGTTCTCCCTCATCTCAAGACTGCACTCTTCTTGATGTTATTTCTGATTATATTGACCAAGCCCTCATTCTTTATCCATCAGCTAATATTGTTGTTGTTGGTGACTCTAATGTTCATCACACTGAATGGCTTGGCTATAGTGTCAGTGACACTGCAGGCATTAAGGCCCACAACTTTTGTCTTTCTCAATCCCTAACTCAAATAGTCAACTTTCCAACTCGCTTTCCAAACAACCCAAGTCATTTACCTTCTCTACTCGACTTATGTCTTGTTTCTGATCCTAGTCAGTGCTCAGTTTCTTCACACTCACCCTTACGTGCTTCTGATCATGGTTTGGTCTCTCTAAAACTATTATCTCATTCTTCTTTACCATCAGAATTCCCCTATCATCGTACATCTTACAACTACCTTAAAGCTGACTGGGACTCTTTCTGTGATTTTTTTCGTGATGGCCCCTGGATAGAAATCTTTTATCTCACTGTTGACAAATGTGCTTCTTACATAACTTCGTGGATTCAGGCTGGCATGGAATCCTTTATTCCTTCTCGACGATTCCAGGTCAAGCCTCACTCTTCTCCATGGTTTTCCTCACACTGTGCTGCTGCAATTGCCAATCGGAACCATTACTTCCATATCTATCAGCAAAATAATTCTCCAGAAAACAGACGTCTGTTTATTACTGCTAGGAACCATTGTAAAAAGGTTTTGTCTAATGCCAAAGCCCGCTATTCTCAAATCATGAAATCTCGTATTTCATCCCAAAAATTAGGCTCTCATGACTTCTGGAGAATCTTTAATAGTATCAATAATAAGGGCAAGTCTGTAATTCCACCACTTTTGTATAGTTCAGACTTTGTCACCTCACCTAAAGACAAAGCTGAATTGTTTGCCAAGAACTTTTCATCAATATCATCTCTTGATGCCACTAGTTGCGTTCTACCTGATATAGCCGTCAAACAGGTTGATCCATTGCAAGGTTTTTCGAGTTTTAAATTAACAAACACTTAATCTCTTATCTCGAATCTCATAACCTACTTTCTGATCATCAATATGGATTTCGATCTTCTCATTCTACGGCTGATTTGCTATCAGTAATACCCGATAGGTTTTATCGCGCATTAGATAAAGGTGGAGAGGTTAAGGCCATTGCTCTTGACATTTCTAAAGCGTTTGATAAAGTTTGGCATGCTGGTCTTCTCCATAAGCTTTCTTCTTACGGTGTATCTGGAAACATCTTTAAGATTATTGTATCCTTCCTTTTCAATCGTAGTATAAAGGTTGTCCTTGATGGACAGCACTCTTCTTCTTATTCTGTAACCTCAGGGGTTCCTCAAGGTTCAATCCTTGGCCCTATACTCTTTTTAATTTACATTAACAATCTTCCAGATATTCTCACTTCTAAGGTGGCATTGTTCGCTGATGATACTACCATTTATTCTTGTCACGATAAGAAGCCAACTCCCTCTGATTGCTTGCAGGGGGCATCTGAGCTTGAAAAGGATCTCACTTCTGCTACAGCATAGGGCTCACAGTGTCTGGTGAACTTTAATTCAGATAAAACTCAATTTTTTCAGCCAACCGTTATCGCAATAGTTTAGACCTTCCTATATTTATGAACGGTAATGTACTTGATGAGTCTCATACCCTTCATCTTCTAGGATTAACTCTCACTTGTGACCTTTCTTGGAAACCTTATATCAAATCCGTTGCAAAATTAGCATCTGCTAAAGTTGCATCTCTTTATCGAGCTCGTCACTTTTTTTCTACTCTGGATTCTATTCTCTATCTCTATAAATCTCAAATTCGGCCTTGAATAGAATACTGTTGCCATATCTGGGGCGGATCTATTAATGATGCCCTTTCTCTTAAAGACAAAGTGCAAAAACACATTGTAAACATAGTTGGACCTGCTCTTGCAGCCAACCTTCAATCTCTGTCACATCGTTGTAATGTTGCTTCTCTTTCTCTTTTGTACAAATACTATAATGGGCACTGCTCAAAAGAGCTAGCGTCTCTTGTGCCATCTACTAAAATTCATTCTTGTGTTACTCGTCATTCAAGTAAGTCTCATCCTTTTTCTGTTACTTTTCCTAAGTGCTCCAAAAACTCTTATTCGTCTAGTTTTTTTTCTCGAACATCAGTTCTTTGGAATTCGCTTCCTTCATCCTGCTTTCCTGATTCATATAATTTGCAATCGTTTGAGTCATCTGTCAGTTGTTATCTTGCTTTACAATCTTCATCTTTTCTCTTCCAGTAACTTTTAGCACTAATTAGTCGTTGCTTTCAGCCTTGTTGGAAGCGAAGATGGTTAAAAAAAAAAAAAATACATATATATATATACAT